TGCAGTAGTCACATACTATCAGATAGACTGTAAGTTAGTTTATCACTTCAGTTTCGTAAAAAAAAAAATACATTCATCGACGTTGGTAAGTGCATGATGCGCCAAATCCAAAATTAAAAATCAAAATGCAGATGCGTTGTCACCTCTTAAAGTCGTCTTTAGGTCAAACGAAGTTACAGTCCACCTGATGGTACACTTATCATTGGCAGTTAACAAGACATGCTCTGATGATGTAATGAGCCTATCAGGCAGGTTAAGTTCGTTCGTGTCGTCTTCTGCGTGGGCTTTCTGCCCAGCAGGTTTCGGGCCTCGGGGTATACGCCTTTACCCGGGCATTCTTCACAATCCCACTATAATGGACCAGTCCTTGACGCCTTATTTTAGGCGATATCAATTTAATAGCGGCTTTTGCCGCAGTCGGGTCAGGTTAAGTTTATTCACGTTATAAAACAAGCCGTCTTGCTAGACCTTGTCGAACGCCTATGCGACATCGAAGAAGAGGGCACAGGTGTTAATGATTCGGTAATTGCTGGTGTGAGAAAAGCCTTCCAGAACATGTTTCGTTAGGCGATGACCTGTTTTCTGCACGAGTGTTCAGTGTTATCCACTGATAATGCAAGCCCACGAACAACTGCAACCAAGCTCACTCAAAGAACGTTACAGTTTCGTGATCACATCAGAGGACTACGACGAAACTTGAGTGGATGCATGAATGGCAACACAGCAGTGCACGCCCAGCTACTGGGGAGCAGAAATACGGTAAGAGGGAGGACGGATTTCTATGCACAAAAGTAGTAGAGGAGTCCTGCCACCTGAGTATTAAGACGACACATCGAAAAAGTGGCTTCGAGCTAACGCGGTACTGATCCGAATGAATACATAATTTCTATAAAAAATTAAAAACGCCGTCAACGCGTAGTGCTCGCGACTATTACGACCGCTTAGAAATTGTCAGAAACTTAAAATATTAAAAAAATATTGATTTAAGTAATCAAAATAATGAGCAAGTAAATTATGAATAGTGATGTGTAGTATAAATTAAGTAATTTCGTTTTAATTTCAACTATGGTGATTTTTAGAGGTGTTTTAGCAAATAGTTATGATCGAGTCAAAATTATACAAACGTGTTTTTGAACAAGCAAATTCAAGATAAAGACATGAGTTTACCTATATCAATATTCCACTTTCGTTAATTGTGTCATAATCCTATGCTATTCGATGAAAGGAGGTGCATTTTTTCGCAGTGTCGCCATAACTAACGACCGCGTGACTTGGTTCGTACGTTACGCTACGTAAATGACTGCCGAATCGCAGTAGTTTCAATCTCTGTTTGAGGTTATAAATGTGAAAAATAAAATTTTAATTGACTTTCAAATTCGGTTGTACATAAATAGTAATTGTCTCCGTTAGTCTAAAATGTCACTACATCCGAGCGTGCCTCCCATCTTATCGTAAATGTGATATCGGATTCGACTAGGATAAGGTAATGTCTCTGTGTTTGCTCGTACACTTCACATTTGCACTTACATTAAACACCTCTTCAGACCTTTTAATAAATCAGACAGAACAGAGAACGTGCAAATCTAATTCACCTACATTGCTATTAAAACATTAATTTAAGATTTCACCTATTACACTTAGTTGCAAGTTTCATTACAATGGAGAGCTGCAATAATTACATATTGTAAAGCATTGGATCTTAATTCCCATTGACGACAACACAGCATTAGTCTTTTTCAAAGTTGTAATCGCTTACCTATATCTTATTTGTCCCTTTTAGTAATTAATTATAAAAAAAATGGGTGCGTTTGGCAGAAAAAAGCGCTAGCAAGCGCTTATAAGAGCTAATATAGTTTTCCGCCAGGACACGATTACTACTTCAGTAGCGCTGACATAATCCGCCATTTTGCTTATTTAATTTGTTTGTTTGAAGTAGAGTTTAAAAGTTGTTTTGTGCAATATTAGTTTTAAGTAATATAATGACATGAATAAATATATACATGTTATTAAAAATTCATGATTGGTAAGTTTTTAATATGAATACTTTACAAACATATATTTAAATTAGGTTAGGTTCCCAGGTTAAAACTAACATCGTGTCCTAGAGGAAAATAGCAACTTACGATTTGACAGCGCTTACCGCTTACGATCGCCATTTTGCTTACAAGCGCTTGCAAGCGCTTTTTTCTGCCAAACGCACCCATTGGTAGCTAGAGCTGGTGGCAAACCAAGTTCAAGTGTCAAGTTAGTGTATGGGATGCAGTAATCGCTTACCTATAGCTTAATTGTCACATTAGGTAATTACATAATTATAAAAATTTGGCACATTTACGTCAGGGATTCCTTAGTACCTAGCTGGTAGCAACTAGCAACCCAGAACTTAGCGCTATTTGACAATATATTAGGCAGTGGAGAAAATCTCGTAGGGAAACTTAAAACTTTTTAAGTGCTTTTTTCGGAAACAAATACTTAAATTTACAAAACGACTGCAAAATACTTTGCAAAGCTGAATATACGCAAACACTTCAAGACTGATCAAGTGTATGCAGCAAAGCTTGCTGCTATGTAGGTGAATAGGATATAAACGTATAGACGGACATTCAGACAAAAGTTCAACGCACCTTAACATCGATCGTCTGGCCCGCGTCCAAGTACTTCACTTTTATGGATGAGTTATTCTAACTTCCTTAAATAGATACCTGACATGGTCATCTCCCATTTTAAAGGGTTGACGCTATTTGGTTATTCAATTTTCATCACTGGATGTCGAACTTGCAACTCTTTTTATATAAACATATAACTACTCAGCAGACGTAAAAATAACTTCGGTATATATATGCCTCATATAAAATTAACGGAAAAACGCGATAGATATTTAAAAAATCAATAGAAATTAATTTATCTGCGATTTATATTACCAAAAATATACTATTAACGCGTGGGAACAAAGTTAAACTATTTCAGAAATAGATCTGCGATCTCTGTCATTTCAAATACCGGAAGAATATTAAGGTCGTAGAGCCACTATAAAACGAACAGGCCGGCTCGGCCAGGGAAAGACCATACTCGCGAGGAATACCAAAGTTGGTGAGTGACGGGAATGGAAGACCTCTGTACTGGTAACTTTCTATCTCAATCCTCAGGAGTGATAACTCATCTGCATTTTAATTTTTAATTAAAGACAGATGTAGGAATCTTAGGGTCACAGCACTCACTTACTATCAGGTAAATTTAAAATTGGCCAAAAATGCGTGTTGGGGCACACGCAGAATTCAGTATGCCGTGCAGAATATACAACGTAATATACGGATTGTGGTGAAGTACCTACTCGGCGTCTTGCAACTTCGACACTGCTTTCCGGCGTCTTCTGGTGGGTATTTCACATCTAGTATAAATACGAAATGGGTTTACCGTTTTTTATAGCAGGCCAATCTTTAGGGAATTTCCGTAAGCGTTGCGTTTAAGAAAACCAACGTTATGTAAAGAGGATTCTTATGATACTATTAGGTTACCCATATGTTTACAGTATTCATTTTTAAATTAGAGATTTTCAGAAAGTTTAGGTTACATTGCCCAATCATATGGGTTCATTGTTGTCTTGCCCTGAACCCCAAAAATAGTTAAAACCTTTATTATCCTTTACTTTAAAACAAGAATTGTTTTAAAGTAAAGGATATGTGTATTTGTCACATATGTGTATTTATTTATACAAGTCAAAATTCGACCGTATTTCTTGAAAGTTTAGGTTTGTATATTAAGCAAGCTGTATTATAGTTTCAACTGCACATTAATATATGAAACAACTAATACACAAAATATAAAATTACGAGGTTTGCGATTGACCTTAGAGTAATAACTTATATAATACTAGCTTGCCAGGCAGACGTTGTTCTGCCCTTTTCGACAATCCTTTGTCATGTCCTATTAAAAATCCTTAAATTCGCAAAAAAAATTGTGTGTCATCCATGGGCAAAAAAACTATCCTATCTCTCAAGTTGGACCAAAGTACACACGGTGTGCATTATTAATCGGTTAAGTAGTTTAGAAGTCATCGCGGACAAACAAAGTGACACGTAATTTATATATATTTTTTAAGATTTTATACTGGTGCTTACTCCGTAACATTGTCAGTAGGAACGTCAAGAAATGACATAATTTGTCCAAATGACAATTAGATGCGTTTGACTTTGACATTATGGGCGTAAACAAGTAAACATTGGATTTGTTATTTTACTTTATGTATTTGTAATAGATACCTATTATAGATTTACTTTTCTGCACTCTTTTGCCATATAAACTTTAACTATGCTAAATCTTACACCCCTCAATGAGCTTTTTCTCTTCACGTAGTTATAAAAAGATTCAATGGTTTTTTGAAATCGATTGTTCTAAGGATTTGTATGAAATTTTGTACCTGATAAAATTTTCTAATAACGCTGTGCAAAGCTTGATCATCCAGCTACTTTTAACATTCACAAATGATGTAGGTATACTGGTATACTACTCTCATACTGGAAGTCATTATCAACAAAGACGGTTCGCGAAAGTGCACCTTATTACATATTCAATAAGTGACGTGATGATTGCATCATAAAATCATTGTTTTCTCATCAGCCATTTCAATTCGAATATATACTTATTGTAATTGATAAATCATGATGTGTCCTAAAAACATAATTTCACCTTGGGTTAGAGTTAATTTTTATGTTTCATTAACTTTTAATTATGATAATTCCGAATCTATTTTCTTCCGAAAACCTAACTTAGCAGTTGTTTTTTTTGACATGTCCTCAAAATCAAGCAAATAGAAAGACACAAGAATACTATAGTATAAATTGATATAATCGTAAACATTAAAATATAAACTATTCACGTGCACGTTTTGACTAATATCCTCTGACCTTCTACCCAATCATAAGGTTAAAACACTTTTTTAACAAGAACATCTTTATGAATTTCCCAGTTTCTTCCTTATTTTGAAAAACATGAATAACACTTACCTTGTAAACGGACCACTCCTTTTAGTTATTTGACCAAGTATTTTCTCAACAGTCCGCCTGTCGCCTTCACGCGCCGCATCTAATAACTCCTGGCCTCTTCCCATGGCCCATTTATTTTTTAATACCATGCACAAAACTAGCACAAAATTCGACCATTTCAATTTTTTACACTAGACTTCACTACACACTACTACTTCATTGATCGTGCCGCCATATTTAGAATTAGGTGAGTGCGCTCTAGCGGCCAACAGTGGAATCGATTTCGAGATGCCTACAAAGTCGGTCACACACACACATTACAATTTACTACTTTAACGTAACCTGCAACCCACTATAGCATCTGTACTTTAAATTATTATATATAATACAGATTTTTGTTTAAAGATAGAGGATAATTAATAAAGTTAGAAAGATTAAGTATAAATATCTTTCATTAGGAAACGACATAAAACATTTCAACGTGTCTAGAGTGCGAACGTAAACTGAATCTGCTATCTTGCTTTCACTAAGCAGATTTCTTTCTCTTTCTCTTTTACTCTGCGACGTTTCATTCGTTCACTAAGTGATTCCAGTCACAATTCATTCCCATTCGTGGCCCATTCATTTAAATTACAAGAATTTGAGAAATGAAATTGTATGCTTTAATTGTTAAAGATCAGTTTTTTTTAAGTTTAAGTTCATTCGAATAACTGTGCTCAAAGTTAGAAACTCTTTTAACAATTATCGATTTATCTTTTACACACTTATCTTTCAGAGTTGCGTTTCGTAGATTTGGAATCTGTCAAAATGAACAGCTGTTAAATGACAGCTCAAAGTATTTCAATTTCAACATCAATTTGTTTACACAAAATTTTTCATTTTCAGGATTTTCGTGACGTGTTATGATTGGTATAATCTAAAGAGCACTTCGGCATGTTTTATTGCAGTTTTGCTATATTTCTAATTGTTTCCATTGTTAAAGTCCAAACTGAAAGTAAGTAAATACAAGCTTAACTATTTTATTATTCTTGTAATTTCTTAACATCACATTAGTGTTGTGTATTTGACAGTTAATCTACCACACATCCTGCATTAATGATAGTTTTTCCATGTGTATATTCCCTTACAAAGCCACATATATAAGAAATTTATACTTTTTTTTTTATACCCTATAACCACCCTATGAGGTTTTTGTAGATGGTTTAACAGTATATTGGAATTAAATAGTTTTATAAGTACATTTTTGCTGGTTTAACTACTTATATGAATTATTTATTCAAATTTACAAATACCAAAGTAAAGTTATGGCCTATAATACTTCTTCAGTACTGGGCACAAGCTTCCTCTCATTTCTGAGTGATAAGTCCATCGTGCTGATCCTATGTGTTGGCAGACTTTATACCTTTTTCTGTACGTGTAGGTTTTGTTTAAATGACATCTTTATTGCTTAAAACTATATCAATTACTATTTAAAATATCGTTGCATTGTTTACTTATGCCCATTTGAAATCTTTGCTGTTTTATTTTTTAAATATGTTTGATCAAAATGGGTATAGCTCCAAATGATACTTAAATATTGGTTTTGTAAAGCATATTCTCTCTCTTTGATTTTTGGAACTACTTAAATCTCAATATTACCATTAGAGTCCAGTAAAAGTCCATTGCTGGACAAAGGCCTCCCCCATAGATTGTGTCATAGCGAGGGGGATATTTACCATGGTTGGCATATACCTACACTTGGCAAGCAGGTTAGCAACTGCAGGTTTTTTTATTTGTTATTAGAAAGATGCTGCTGCCATCTTGTGATTTATTCCTCTGTAGCCTCTTTTGACACCTATGGGATAATAATAGTAGTGGATATTCTTACACTGCCACTACATGGTCAATTTAATCAATTTATTGGTTCATCAAAAGTTATTGTTACTTTAGTTTAGTTTACAACAGGCTGTTTTCTGCAACTCCACGTCTCCGCACGTATTTTGCATCTGGGCAGGATTAATGTAATTATTCGAGGCATGATATCTTCCCTAAGAAGTTCAACAGTCCTTTGATTGTTGGTTAGCAACATCGGGGTATGGTATTGAGTGATCAAGATGTTTAGGTTTGTATACAGCGACCTACAGGCATGTCAGCAATACGTGGGCCACTGTCTCTTCCTCCCCCATACATGCCCTGCACAGGGGACTATCTGTAACACCTATGGTTAATAAATGTTTATTAAATGAGGCATGTCCTGTGATAGCACTTGTTCCTGATATGTGGCTTGTTCAGTCTCATGAGAAACTTGGTTAAACAACAGTTTATTTCAGGCAGGGCCTTGCAAACTTGTATACAAACTACTAGATTTTTCCAAAAGTGAGCATGTTGATTAGTGAAGTTTCTATATACCAGTGAACAAACGTTACCAAATGGGATTGGTATTATTGGTTCTGGCCCTATAGTTGCCAGAGCAGATCATCTTCTGGCCAGTTTGTCTACTGCATCATTGCCTTAATTCACTGTGTTCCTTGATCTGTTGCAGAGTCACATGGTTGTGTTTACGTACCTCATTTAATTGTTGATGGCATTCATATATTAGTCCAGAGTACACCACATTACAACTTAAAAGCTTGTAGTACCACCATAGTGTCAGTCAATATTCTGATGGAGAAGTCTTATCTTTATAGCATATATTGCTGTGGCCGCTTTGATGATATCTATACTTTCCGCCTGATCCACTGTATTATGGGTACCCAGCGGTGTACATATGTGGATATTGAGATCTTCAGAGAAATTTCCGGATCCTACACCTTCATTTGTTGTAGAACCATCCATTAAAACTCTTAAGCTCTTTTGGGCTTAATCCCTTCAGCTGGCTGATTTCATTGAATTGTATCTTATACTTCTCATCGAATACAAATTGTTTGGGGAAAAGTTATTGTTTTTTATAAGCTAGTGGTTTAGAACATAACACATGTGCTATAAGTTAATATTGTAAATACCTCTAAGGGTTGTGTTCCGCTGGGTGTCACAAGAAGCAACCAAGGAAAATTAACCTGGCTGCCAAGAGCATTGCGACTACGGCAAATGGTCTGGCCTGACTATGAGCATGGCCTATGTTCAGCAGTAGACATATGATAGGCTGTAACAGTAAAGCAATAAATCATTCAAATATGTGTGTGTATATATTTATGTGTGGTAGTTTATTTAATATATGTGTGGTAGAGCTATGCTGCAGCTATATTATGGTTGTAGCATGAATGGGTCGGCTCAACTGGGGAAGGATCACACTCTGTTTCTGTTTCTCACAGAATACCTCCTTATACTCCAAGAGCTAGTGAACCCTCCGAGTAACGGTCTTCCTGTAAGGTTGGAAATTTGTACACTTAGCATTTATAGCATGCTAAGGGCAATAGCCATGACCTGGCAGGTGTCAGCCCTGCACGTCATCAGCCCCTTTATTTTTTAAATTGTAAAATAAATAGAGTATCTAAACTTGTTTCTGTAAGCTTAAAAATATAATAGGATGTAGTTTATTTATTGTAAATCTTGGAAATACCGTTGAAAAAAGCGTAAATTTGCAGCTTAGTGCTGCTGTATTTCTTATGGTGAGTGTAGTGAACTGGAGACCCTTTTTACTGGAAATGAGGCATTTCATCTTAGTTCTCAGGGGTGACCACGCATCTGCTTTTTTATTCTTAACTGAGGATAAATGTAGATATCTATGGACTACAGCGTTCACTTACTATCAGGTGAACTGTGTGCTTGTTAGTCACCCTATTCTATAAAAAAAATCTTTCAAGTTTTGCCAAGAAAATGATGTTGAGGGAAGTACAGATCTCTAAAATTCAAACAGACCACATAACAGACCAAAAATCACTGTGGAAATATTTGCCTTGCACTCATACAAGTGCAGTTTCATTTCTGTAGTAATCTAGACATTGGCAAGAACAACACAACGGAAGACAATGAAGATCTATGATAAGACAATGATGTCTAAACATTTTGTGTACTGGTTATTTCATAATTTTAGAGAATATCCGGATTTAGATATAGGATCATATAGATAGGTCTCTAAGAATAATTTATTCTATTGTAAATTCTTAAAGTGAAGGTTTCTTTGTTTTATCTATCCAAAGCTATAGATAGTTCTTATAAACAATGGCATATAGTTTTTTATAATGCTAATAATAGGAGCATCCAAGATTACGGTGAACCTTGTGGTAAGTTCCCAATGCAACCCATATGTATCTGCAGCTAACTCATTCAGACTTCAGAGCATTCCACATAAACTTTCATACATGCGTACATTCATCCATACACTGGATAAACATTACCTTCTTCTGGGTCAATCAGACAAAAAGAAAAAACAGTATATTAAATATATCTTTTTTTTTTTATAGGATAGGGTGACAAACGAGCACACAGTCCACCTGATGGTAAGTGGTTGCTGCGGCCCATAGACATCTACATCTATCTTCCATTACAAATCAAAATGCAGATGTGTTGTCACCCCTGAGGACTTAGATGGAATGCCTCATTTCCAGTAAAAAGGGTCTCCGATTCTCTACACTCACCATACGAAATACAGCAGCATTAAGCTACTATTTCACGCTGGTATTCTGTGAGAGCGTGGTCCTTCCCCGGTCGAGCCGACCCATTCGTGCTACAACTATACTACTAATATAATTGCAGCATGGCTCTACCACGTAAAAAATATATCTAGAATTGATATTACAATTTTTTATCTTAATAATTATAATTGACATATAAATACTTAACTAATTAATTCTTAGATAAATATAAAAAATGTGTACTGTTTTAAATATTGGTTATGTATAAGTAATTACTAACAAAATAAAAATTGATACTGTTTTGTTTCAGATGTGACAATAACAATAGCTTTAAACAAAACGACAGATTTGTCAAACAAAGAACTATATGGAGAATATGTAAATCTCAATGCCTCATCAACACTCCAAGTAGGCTTTACTGATGTTTCAAAGTCATTAGCGTTCATAATATTTCAAGTACATAGTCACTTTTACAATATCACTTTATACAACAATACTTTAACAAAAAGTTCATCTGTTTATGGCACTAACATTGGAATATACAGTACAGTGAAATCAACATCTGACAAGTTTTTTATTTACAACCAAAACATGGTCAACGTAAAACTGTTCATTGTGATACATGGATATAGTGCCAAAGGTATTTCTTTTTACTTTAAATTATTCAGTTAGTAATATATTACTGAATTAAATTTATTACGCTGTAGAGCCATGCTGCAGTTATATTAGTAGTATAGTTGTAGCAGAAATGGGTCGGCTCGACCAGGGAAGGACCACACTCTCACAGAATATCAGGGTAAAATAGTAGCTGAATGCTGCTGTGTTTTGTATGGTGAGTGTAGAGATACGGAGACCCTTTTTATTGGAAATGGGGTATTCCATCTTTGTCCTCACAAGTGACAACGCATCTGCATTTTGATTTGTAATTGAAGATACATAGGTGGGTGTCTATGGGCCAAAGCGACCACTTACCATCAGATTGTTTGTGACCCTAACCTATATATATATATATATATATATATATATATATATATATATATATATATATATATATATATATATATATATTTTATATATATATATATATATATATACCCCATTAGTATAATGCAGGTTAATTAGTACAAGGTGCTAGCTTAGCCATAGCATTACTAGAGGAAGAGGAAGGTGGCCGCCAAACTATCTAACCTACTTGCATATAGCATTGAATTACTACTAGTGAAGTTGTTACAGCTTAAAAAGGCCTATAACACTGCAATGGTTTCTTTTATAAAACTGGAAAAAATCCATAAATTAATTTAATTAAGTTAATTTATTGATAACTTTTATTTATATATAATATTTTTGTTCAAGATCCAATACCAGGTGGTTGTAACATGGAATTTCAACCACCAATATCACCATCTATGCATATATCATATAACAATGACTATGTTCTTATTGAAACTGCATCAGCTAGAGACTCTGCCGACCTTGTGTGCACGTCCATATATGATGTAATTGTAGAATTTTATTTAATGTACTTACCAGAAAGGAGTTTTGATTCAGATACCTATTTTAAAGGAATTCAGGATATGATGACTTTGGATAATATTTCTGAAAATGGTGAAATCGTAAGTACCTATACTTTTTCTATTTATACTTATAAGGAGAAAGGAGAAATTTCTTAAAAACAAATTTAATAGACATCAGTATGTACATACATACATACATAAAACACTTATGTCAGTCGCCCAGAGGGTAAGGCAGAGGGTAGGGGTAGGTAGACTACAGATTACTATTTGGCACAATCCTGACACAATCCTTCTCGCTTCCTTCCCATCCATATACTAATGGTATAGTAGGCTAATGGCTATTATCTATTTTATAGAGACACAGTATACCTGATGGTAAATGAATACTGTGGACCATAGACATATAATTTATCCTCTATTAAAAATCAAAATGCAAGTGCATTGCCGCTCCTGAGGACTAAGATGGTCTGCCTCATTTTTCTGTCCAAAGGTCTCCAGTTTTCTTCACTCACCATATGAATCACCAGCATTTTGCTATGTGTGAGTGTAATTATAATAATAATGTCCTCCAGACCAAATGTCGGTCATTGCGACCTGTCCTGACTGGAGACTAGTCATCTACAGAGGTCAGGATTGTAGTGCCCGAGTGTATGCGTATCCACGGGTGCACTCTGTATTCCTTCACTCTCATAGTCCCATGAGACGGCAAACTGACACGACCGGAGGAAGTTCATGCGCAGGACTAACGGCTTTACGTGCTATCCGACGGGGTTAAAGCACCGTCGACTTACACTCTCTCCTAACTTACTTACTTACTCTTTCCTAGCTGTTACTGAGAATTTCTTGACAGAAAAACTCATCACTTAACTAATTTTGGCCCGGCCCCGGATTCGAACCCGCGACCTCAAGTTTAGCAATCACGTTTATAACCACTACACTAGCGAAACAAGTGTTATGCATACTGTGTAATAAAATACTATTTATCTTTATCTTAGCAGATCACTCCCTATTGTGTTGTTCCAGTTTGAAGTGTAAGGAAGCTAATGTAACCTTTCGGAGGCTTTCCTAGTCTTCAAAGGTAAAAACAATGCATCAGGCATCTGCCAGTTTGCTGCCATCATAATCTTTATACGTGGTATAAAGATATCATAGAAATCTTTTATACGTGGTAGAGCCATGCTGCAGTTATATTAGACGTATAGTTGTAGCACGAATGGGTCGGCTCGACCGGGGAGGGACCACGCTCTCACAGAATAACAGCGTGATATAGTAGCTTAATGCTGCTGTATTTCGTATGGTGAGTGTAGAGAACCGGAGACCCTTTTTACTGGAAACGAGGTATTCCATCTGAGTCCTCACGGGTACACCGCATCTGCATTTTGATTCGTAATCGAGGATAGATGTAGGTGACTATGGGCCACAGCAACCACTTACCATCATGTGGACTGTGTGCTCGTTTGTCACCCTATCCTATAAAAAAAAGAAACTGCAGGCTTATTAATCAATGTTGATGCACACTCGAATTAATAATAATTAATCTAACAAGTGTGTGTCCAAGCAAAATACATGACGATATACTAACTATAGATAAATAATTAGATAAAATTGATTTCGAAACAATATGAATTGAAGTTTAAATATTTGGTATTGTATCACTTTTGGAGGTATCTCTTAATTCTAAATAATGTTACATAAATCATTGGTTGAATACAAATTTGTTGATCGAATAAGTATTAAAATAAATTGTGTTATCATTATGACTTATGTTAATCATACAAAATTTTAATACACTATGTTTTATTATGATATATCATACCGATGTAGCCTATCGAATCAGTAGGCTGAAGTAGCAATGGGTCGGTCATATATTGGCTCGACAAACCGACGACCGATGCAAGAGGGGAAAGGGTAGCGACGATGGAGTGACGACCTAGTAAGAGATGAAGGAAATTGGTGGATGTAGGTGATTCAGGGCACTGTTTTGTGGCAATCCTTCGGCAGACGTATTTTTAGCAATTGACTGGTAAAGGGCTGTAATGATGATGATGATGATAATAATGAATGTTATCATGGGGATTGTACCCCTTTTTCAAATGTCAACCTGTACAACCTGCTGATTGAAAGACGAGGCTTTTGTCAACGACTGACGGTGGGAAAACCATCCAAAACGATGATTGAGCATTTAGCATTACCTGAGCAAAGATATCCAACCCCCTGCCCAAGGTAGTGTGTATGGACAAATCTTTCATACAATGCATGCGAGTTGTTATATTCTTACAAAGGTATGATGCATATGATTGGTATGATTTTTTTAGTAAGTTCAAGTGCTTTGTGATATTCCTTGGGGGAGGTCTATGTTTGGCAGTGGATTTGTGATGGGCTGTGGAGAAGGTATTGATGATGAAAGTCAAGATAGCCTTAGTCTCAGATTATAGACTATTATATTATGTGTACGGTTTCGCACAGGCCTCCTGTAAGTTATCAGAGGTTATAACAAAAAAATGGTGTATTGTTATCAATCTCTCTTTATAAAGAGATTGTTATCAATCTATCCCATCAATTCAAACGGGGTCCTTTGAATTTAATCATTACTACAGCGTAGTTCAAGATCCATCAATTCAAACGGGGTCCTTTGAATTTAATCATAACTACAGCGTAGTTCAAGATTATGTTGTCCGACATATAACCGTGATTTTGGATAGTATGTTAAAAGAGGTTTGGTTCTCAAGGTAATAATCATATAGGCTTTTAATACTGGCCTCTTACTTTAACTTTATGTTGCATAAACTAATAAGATGTTGAATACAATTTGATTAGATTTGAATGCGTCATTTAACTTCTGATAAAACTATACCTAATATGATGGTTGATATATTATATACCTATATGAAACTATATCACAGACACGAGTAATATTGATATCAGTTGTTTTTTTTTTTCTTGACAATAAACCAAAGAGCCGTGACTAGGTACGATCTGCTACAGTGATATCTGGACCCTGAATTCTAAGAAGGCTTGTTACTTCTTAAAGCAATAATAAACAAGAGGTTCATTCGAGTGTCGCTACCATTCCTTGGCGCGTAATAATTCAAAACAGGCCAAGTTTAAAATGATTATCCGACATCCGCCGCTCGCAGCTCGCAGTCTTGTATGCTATGTAGAAAGATGTGGAGGATGTAATTTAAATCGGCTCATTGCCTCCCACACTTACATGCGTTTCGTTATTTAAATAAATGACTGGACATAACATATAATGGTTTAAAAAATCTAATTATAATATCCTCTCCGAATTTAAAATAATAGAGAAAGTTTTTTTTTCTAATATTATTGATACTTTTATGATATAGTTTTATAAGTTAGGCATAAACGATCACAGTGTATCTGTTGGAGTCCAATAATACAATTCATCAGAATAAATATGTTCGTTTTGTATATCTATACATTCATTATATCCGGATAACCTAATGTCGGCTCTATGTCGCCTCTACACGTTGGCCAACACAGTGGCGAATATATTGGCCAAGAGTTGGTGACGGCGTCCACACGTTGGAAGGTCGTTCAGTTTACTTCGGTTCGGGCCAATGTGCGGACGAATTTATTTTATTTTAGACGACGGCTCCGTGGCGCAGTGATTTGGCAATGAGTGGCTGTTCCAGGGGTCGCGGGTTTGAATCCCGCAGACGTATTTGTTATACTTTGTTTCGGGTCTGGATGTGTGTCCTTGTGCAATTTATGTTTGTAAGCTGCCTCCGCGATACAGGAGAAAATCCAAGTGAGGGGGTGGAACGTTTTTATAAAAGAATAGTGAATATTAATGGGGCTGTAAATAGATATACGATATACGATTAGCTTTATTTATTCTTTACATGCATCATAAACTGGAATAAATACAATTAATTAGAACTTTACTTATTTTAAAGTGAAAGGAGTTATAATCGATTAGTCTATGTTTTAAAATTGGGTTTTGTTTTTAAAGTTTATCAAAAAATGTACTTGCTTTTCTATTAGACATTTGATGTTGGTATATAAAAAAAACACCTTATAATTTATTTGGTAATTTAATTATTTTTTGAGAAAAACAAAAACTATAGCAATAAATATAATTAACACTGACTTAATAATAGGTACTAATTATAACTTAGAACATAAATGAATAACTCATGACGAGGAAAGTGGCTCAGGACCATGTTTTGCGGTATTCTTTGGAGGAGGATGTTCAGTAGTGGACTTGTGAAGAGCTGTAATGATGATGATGATTCGAAAACTTGCACGATTAAATTATAAGAAATCGACGCTTTTTTATATAGGATAGGGTGACAAACGAGCACACAGTTCACCTGATGGTAAGTGGTTGCTGTGGCCCACGGACATCTACATCTATTCTCGATTATGAATCAAAATGCAGATGCGTTGTTACCCGTGAGGACTAACATGAAATGCCTCGTTTCTTTTAAAAAGTGTCTCTGGTTCTCTACACTCACTGTACGAAACATGAGCGTGTTTCGTAAGTCGTCGTTAAGCTACTATTTTACGTTGATATTCTGTGAGAGCGTGGTCCTTCCCCGGTCGAGCCGACCCATTCGTGCTATAACTATACTTCTAATATAACTGCATGGTTCTACCACGTATAAACGACGTGCTTCATTTTTTTTTTTCATTTTAAAATTATTCTCGTAATAATCTGATTGTAAATAAATGTTCATTATTTTTTTTGATAAATAGCTTATCGATTAAAACAAATGTTTAAAAATAATTAAATCCCGCTAATTAATGTAGTAGGAGTGTTTAAAGTTGAAATTGGTACTAAAAAGCTGGTAATTGGGTCATCCACTCTACGAAGCGTGAATATAAAATTTTAATCAGATGCGTGTAATCACTCTGGGGGCTTGTAGCAAACTAAACTCGCGGCCAACTGTGGACGCGGCGACCAAACTCTGCGAACAATTCTTTGATCTTTTGTAAAAAACTGACACCACACGGATCTCGCGCCAACTTGCGGGCCATCGTTCCAATACATACCAATGAAGCCCAAACACCCCGTCTACACGTTGGCCAATGCTATTGGCCACTACATTCGCCACTGTGTTGGCCAACGTGTAGAGGCGCCGTTACACGTTGGCCAACGCAGTGGCGAATGTAGTGGCGAATATATTGGCCGAGAGTTGGTGACGGCGTCCACACGTTGGAACATCGTTCAGTTTACTTCGGTTCGGGCCAATGTGCGGACGAATTTATTTTATTTTAGACGACGGCTCCGTGGCGCAGTGGCTTAGCAATGAGTGGCTGTTCCGGGGGCCGCGGGTTTGAATCCCGCACGTAACAAGTATTTATTATCTACATAATGTTTCGGGTCTGGATGTGTGTCCTTGTGCAATTTATGTTTGTAAGCTGCCTCCGCGATACAGTAGAAAATCCAAGTGTGGGGGGGGGGGGGGAACGTTTTTATAAAATAATTATAAAAGAATAGTGGATATTAATGGGGCTGTAAATAGATATACGATATACGATTAGCTTTATTTATTCTTTACATACATCATAAACTGGAATAAATACCATTAATAAGAACTTAACTTATTTTAAAGTCTAACGAGCTATAATCGATTAGTCTATGTTTTAAAAATGGGTTTTACTTTTAAAGTTTAGCAAAACATGTACTTGCTTTTCTATCAGACATTTGGTGTATATAAAAAACACCTTATAATTTATTTGGTAATTTAATTATTTTTTGAGAAAGACAAAAACAATAGCAATAAATATAATTAACACTGACTTAATAATAGGTATTAATTATAACAATAAATGAAAAACTCATGACGAGCAAAGTGGCTCAGGACCATGCTTGGCGGCAGTCTGTGGAGGAGGATGTTCAGTAGTGGACTTGTGAACAGGTAATGATGATGATTCGAAAACTTGCATGATTAAATTATAAGAAATCGACGTTTTTTTTTATAGGATAGGGTGACAAACGAGCACACAGTTCACCTGATAGTAAGTGACTACTGTGGCCCACAGACATCTACATCTACCCTCGATTACGAATCAAAATGCAGATGCGTTGTCACCCGTGAGGACTAAGATGAAATGCCTCGTTTCCTTTAAAAAGGGTCTCTGGTTCTCTACACTCACTTTACGAATCACAGCATCATTAAGCTACTATTTTACGCTGATATTCTGTGAGAGCGTGGTCCTTCCCCGGTTCAGGCGACCCATTCGTGCTACAACTATACTTCTAATATAACTGCATGGTTCTACCACGTATAAACGACGTGCTTCATTTTTAAATTTGTTCTCGTAATAATCTGATTGTAAATAAATGTTCGTTATTTTTTTTTTGATAAATAGCTTATCGATTAAAACAAATATCTAAAAATAATTAAATCGCGCTACTTAAAGTAGTACGAGTGTTTAAAGTTGAAATTGGCACTAAAAGGCTGGTAATTGGGGCATCCACTCTACAAAGCTTGAATATAAAATTTAAATCAGATGCGTGTAATCACTCTGGGAGCTTCTAGCAAACTAAACGCGCGGCCAACGTGTGGACGCGGCGACCAAACTCTGCCAACAATCCTTTGATCTTTTGTAAAAAACCGACACCACACGGATCTCGCGCCAACCTGCGGGCCATCGTTCCAATACATACCAATGAAGCCCAAACACCCCGTCTACACGTTGGCCAATGCTATTGGCCACTACATTCGCCACTGTGTTGGCTAACGTGTAGAGGCGCCGTAAGACAAATCTTCAGATGATAATTATTTGACCGTATATAAATCAATGATTTGGGTGGCCACGGAGAGTTACAATAACGCAGGCTTAGGTTTCTACATCTATTTCACAAAATTATACAACTTTTAATAACTGTTATTTATATTTTGTAAGTACCAAATTATTCGCCGTAAATCGCCGTAATCGCCAAGCAGGTGTGTGAAGCGAACCGACTAAGTGAATTTATACACTAGCAGAGAACTTATGTGCGTAAAACGCAGGACAGGCAGGTTTTAATGTGTCCCTTTTTATTTAAAAAATATCGTGTTGTCAAGACTTAAAATTTATGTCGACCGTACCTACATTTTGTTTACCCTGCCGTTCAACTGATAAATGGGGTTCATGCGACTGAATTGCAGTTTATCTGTCACCGCCCGATATTCAAATTAGACGGCTAGATAGTTAACCAAATGGGGGCATTCATGTCGCGTATAATATTTAAAGTCCATCAACTAACAAAATATCTAACTAAATCTAGAGTGTTACTCGTCCAAATCGCCGGTATTTGGTAAAATATCACGGACTCAAGCCACAAAAATATCGCGGACTGGAGAATGTTATTATTATCCCCTCCGTGACATTAGTGTCCCACCCACCATTTCCTACCAAACTTCCAATTTATCCAACGATGGGAAGAAAAATAGCATAGGCGTGATATTAAATTGGACAACTAAGACCTGTGCCTATCTAATTTAATTTAATTTTCTTATTCAATTCTTATTTTTTACTTAATTTTATTTTACTTATAATAATAATAATAATTTTTACTTGACATTGTGATTAGGAATTTACTTAAATTTACAGAATTTTAAAATAATATAATCTAATAATGTAATGTATTAATGAAATCTAATATTGCAGTTTAAAAATAATATTTAATATTTTTATAATTGCTACGCCCAAACTGGGTTCAAATGCGGACTATTTTTTTAAAAACATAACAACTATTGTAACCATTTGATTGCAATAAAGACTATGACTATGACTATAAATAATTGGTTAGAATCATCATCATCAGCCTGGGTCAATTGCTAGACATAAGCCTCTCCCAAGGCGCATCACTCAACCCGATCTTCGGCTCCACGCATCCAGTTTCTACCAGCCACCTTGCGCAGATCGTCGCTCCATCTGATCAGGACGCGTCCCACACTACTTTTGCCTAGACGCGGTCTCCACTCCGTAACACGTCTACTTCACCCGTTGTCACTTCTGCGACAGACATGACCCGCCCATTGTCACTTCAGTTTATAAACTCGGAAGGCCGTGTAAGTAATCTTGGTTCTCCGGTAGATTTCTTCATTTCGAATTTTATCTACAAGAGCAATTATGAGCATAGCTCTTTCCATTGCTCACTGAGTGACTTTAAGCTTGTGGAGTAGCCATATCGTCAGAATCCACGTTTCACCACCATAAGTGGGTACGGGCAGAACGCACTGGTTGAAGACTTTTGTATTCAAACTTTGCGGTAAGGGCAACGAGAAAACTGACGGAGCTTTCTAAATGCTGCCCAGCCTAACTGAATCTTCCGATCAGCTTCTTTTCTTTTTTTTCTCTTTTCTTTTTTTTTCAAATTTTTTTTTTAGCCCAAACTTTTTTTATTTACAAAGGATGAGATTTGACATTGAAGAGATGAGTCAAGAATTGCTCTGCTCTGAAAGTGAGAGCTCAGTTTCTCAACATCAGTTACTACTGTACAAATATTTCTTTGAGATACGATTAAGTTTTGTGAGGTCCCTCACAAAACTAAATGGCATCTAATTATTGAAGAGGATGTTTAAAAATTTCTGAATAGAATCATATAATGATAGAAAAGATTATATGATTGGAAAGTCTGTAAACAAATGTTGGAATAAAATGTCAACATTTAGGTATCAGAAGTGCGGGTAAATGCTGGGATTAGTGATGACGGGGATAGTGCACGCAATTGGGGGAAGGCGTGAGGTGCTCTTCAAACTAGGTAAGACACATCCAAATCATTTTATGATGTGGATGTGGGCGAAGTAATTCTTACCAACTTTAATTTAATGAATTTCCGCAAAGTAACGCCTGATTCTATTAAACACGTTAATGTGTAAGTTTTTCCGGACGATAAATCTTAAAAGTTGAAGAGGTATTTTAATAAATGTATGAATGAGGAAAATGTATAGTGAAACGTCGTGTAAGTTTTCCGTGAAAAGGAATTTTCAAAAACAAGGGTATTGTACAATATTACGGTAACTATCTAGAAATAAAGCTTCTGTCATATACCGTGGTTTACGCCAAGATGTGGTACAATATGTGCTATGTTTGCGCCAGCATTTCGCAAAATATAGACAAATCTGGACATAATTTTTCTTGACCTCGAGAAAGTATACAATAGGGTATTCCGAAATATTTTGTGGTGAGTATTGAAACAGAAAGGAATGCTAAGGAACTATGTTCAGCTTAAACGTGCGATGTTTAGTTTTCGGTCTGAAGCACAAGTCTAATGTTGATGTAGGCTTGCATCAGGAAGCAGCGTAAAGTCACTATTTGTTCCTCTTGGTGTAAGCTGTTTACTGACGACATATTTTCATTGAGGAAAATGCGCTTAAGGTTCAGAGTAACCTGGCAAAATGGCGGGAAAGATTAGGGAGTATCAACACCCGTTCTGCGACTTTGTTGATCCTTCAAATTTCTCTCCTATCGCCTTAGGTTGTGTATTGCTACCAGTCAGCTGCAAATTTCAGTACCTCGGTTTATTGATACAGAATGATGACGAGACAGACATTTATTATTTTATATACTTAAATTGATTCGTAAAAACCCGCTACTTCCTTTACAAATTGTTATTATTAATTTCCATTTTAACAGATACCTCAAACGTCATGGAGCATGCGGCGTATGCTAAGCGCTTACCCTGGCACAGGTGCTATATTCGTCGCGGTGGCTTACAACGCGCTCAATCGTAGTGCGTATTCAGTATATGTTCCGACATATACATACGCTTGTTCACCATTAGATGAGAGTGGCTGTGAATTACTTGGTAAGCGAGTTTACAATTTCATAACAGTGAAAATGAACGGGAAAAGAAAGTATAAGACTAATTTTTCCCCGAATGTCAACCTTACCTTCACGTGGTGGTCTCTGCTGTACAACGTGATTAGCTTCAATGACTGGTTCATCCAGACCATTATTATCATTACACTCCTTCACAAGTTCACTGTTGAATAAAGGTCACTCTTAACCAGTCCTAGACCACCTACATCCGAAGACTACTTGCATGTCCTACGAGGTCTTCACTTCATCTAGTTCGGGGGCCGCTCTACATTTCGCTTACTATACGGGGCCTTGCCTTACCAATGGGGACGAAATTTTCTGGAGTGGCAACTCCAGAAACTTTCGTCCCCATTGGTTGTCGGTACCTTTAGCTTTGCGATCGGCCCATAACCACTTCAACTTACTGGTCCGTTAAAGTGTGTCGGTTAATCTGGTTCTGCCGCGGATATTTTCATTACAAATTCTATCACGCAGAGAAACTACGAGCGTAGCCCTCTCCATACCTTGCTGAGCGATCTTAAGTTTTTTTTATTTCTTAATTATTTCTTATAAGGCCAGCAGTGTACTAATGACCGGCTGGCGACCAATGGATACCGAAAAGTCTATCCAAAGATAAAGAATTCAATTGTCAAATACTGGAGAATTGAAGTAATATGACCAGTGCGAGAGTCTTGACTCTAAGCTTACCAATCCGTCTGCTCCGCGTGGTAAGTATGGGCAAACTTTTCAAGAAGTATTCATAGAATGCCCAATGGCGCGTTGTTGAAAAGGCTTATATCGTAATATTTCTCGGGAAAAAATGTGTGTCTGAAGTCGAGTCTTTGTTGAACAAAGTCTCGGATTGGGGGCGACTAAATCTAGTCTAGTTTGACCCTCAAAAGGCATTCGCGTTTACCGCAGGAATAAAATACTCTGGTCGTATCTCCTCGATTACAGTACACCATTGATAAAATATAACATTAGCTATTCCTAAAAATATAATATGAGTACTTCGTAATAAATATAAATTTCGAAATATGTACATACTAAAAAATATTTACAATTATTTGTGTAGTATCGTCTGTTTTAAATTATTAAGTAGCTTCTTATCAAAATCATTCTAAATTGAAAGAAAAATCTCATTTCTGACTTTTTGTGCTTGCGAAGCCTCCATAGAAGCCAAAATGCCAGGCTTGCCCTTTCAAACTGCTCAATCAATAATATCAACTTATAAAATAACTCGTAAACTGTTTCAAACTATTTCAAATTTTCCGCGCACTCCTCTGTAGTACACAGGTCATGACCTCGTAGCATATATGTAAAGTCAACACTTGGCAGTTTGCTTTCAATTCGAAATACACTGATTCGTGTTCTCTCTGTCTCAAAGCGAACACGCAATTGACTGTCAAAATGAATCAAAGCAATGAGTTGATTTGAGCGATTAGTCGTCTCTCTCGCACGCGTGGGATTTTTACTGGGCTTTCGAAAAGACGATCGATCCTTTTCTAACCTGTGGTAAAATGTTCTATAATGAAATATAACTACGAAATGTTTATTAGGCTTTTTTCACAACTACCGTAGAGTACCGTACAATCCATCTAGTACAGTAGTATGCCTTCTTGTAAAACACGTCCTCGACAGCACTGAATATGAAACTGAAGAGTGGAGACAGATCAAGATTGGTGTATTTTTATAAAACTGCTAAAAAGAACAAAACCATATCTTGGGCTTGCCCTAGTTGTCAGTCTAACAGGGCCTATAGTACATTACTGTTTTATTATACACCAACAAAATTGTAACCTATAGACGGTAAATAAACGTATTGAGTATTGAATTGTTTTTACCGCGTTGTACTTAAGAACCCATAGCAGATCAAAGGCCCATCGATAGAATTTGCTACAGGCCCCGCGCTTGCTTAATCCGGCACTGCCCATATCATCCCGTAAGTGTCATATGAGGCGAAATAGGGAAATGAAACTGGAAATGGGCATCAGTATCTTCCTAATAAACGTTACGGGTCCCACTGCTGGGCACAAGCCTCCTCTCATTCCTAAAAAGGCTTTTAGGACAAGGAAGTGTCCGCGTCGCTGCCCCAATGCGTGTTAGCGGACTTCACATGCAGGTTTACTCACGATGTTTTCCTTCACCGCTGAGCGAGTGGTAAATCAGCACTTAAAATTACAATTAACAATTTAATTTTTGCCGGCGGGGATCGAACCCGGGTTGCTCGCGTACTGTGAAATTTACAGCAAGCGGTAAGCCCCTGAACTGCCACGGCTCTACATCTTCCTAATAACAACTCAAAAAAGCTACGGTTGCCAATCCGCGTTCACTGCGTGTCAACAATAGCAATGTGAGTGCAGGTTGAACGTATTTAAGGTTGGTCTACGCTAGAGGAGACGAACACGAGCTAAGCACAAGCTGAGCCGGCGCTCTACTCGCGGTGTCAAGTGTGCACGTACAACGAGCCTACAACATCCAAATCGATGCATGCGATGCAAATCCCTTTGTGTTCGTCAAAAAACCGACAATAGGCGGAGCACAGTCGAGCATGAACCAAACGCTCGAAGCGCGCTCGTTCGAGGCTCGTAAGTCGGTCCACACTACACGAATTTGTGCTCAGCTCATGCTCCGCTCGTGCTCAGCTTGTCTAGCGTAGGCCCACCTTTAGATTTTGTTGCCCCCCTTGCTTTGGCCTGTTTCTCACAAGACAGCGATATAATAATTGGATTTTTTAATTTTAGATGACGCACTGTCGCAATTTCTTTGCGCATCATTACTATTCTTTGGTCTATTCATTTGCTATTTTGGGCACCGGTTCTTCAAGACTGAAATGTTCTTAATAGGGTCGATCAGCGGTGTTGTTATCACATATATATTGATTTCATTGATATCGGAATTGGAGAGACCTGGTAAGATATTTAATCATGTGTTTTAATATTGATTTACTAGCTTCGTGATTCTAATATTTCATGAAAGAAGAAGTGATAAGTGCGTAAATTTATTTGTCACTCCTATTTGGTTTGACTGAAATGCCTCACAGTCTATAATTGTACTATTTTTAATCAATATACTGATTTGTCTAAAATCTTACCTTCAAAATAGAACAAAGTAGTGTGGACTGTTGCTCGGCTACAAATAGGTATATTATCTACCAACTTACATGTACTCCTAGGTAGAAAAGAAGTAATTATCACCTCGTAAAGTTTTGTTAATAATATAATAAACATAACTAATATTTATAGTAACAAAACTACCAGGATTTACCACGTGATGGCGGTAACGTTGCGCGTGTGTCGTCATTTAGGGCAACTGGGAATGCCAGAAATACCTCATGGTTTTCGATAGATGGTGATATTACTGTCTCGTTTACGTCAAACATAAAATACGAGGGCGACACTGAAAGTTTTTAGAACTGGCCACTTGTAAACGATATAATAACAAAATAAGTTCAAATTTTGAAAATGGAACTCTTTGTCAATATTATTGTGTATGTATTTTAGTATTTTATTAATTTGTCATTTGTTTACGATTTGGCGGCAAATTGAAAAGAACTTTCAGTGTCACCCTCGTACCCAGATCGATAATGTGATACAAGAAGAAAAGTGTAAGACCTCGCCAAACCGCCAGCAAACGATTATGGCAAAGCCACCCTACAACGAGATTGGCCGATGTAAAGGCGTGAACTTTTAAGAGCTGTAGAAAAAAAATTACAGAATATTTAAATATAATTTTTCCTCCCGATTTCGCTTACGGATCACAGATTAAAATTTTCCAATTAAATAACCAGAAGTGAAAAAATAACGCCGAAACAACTATACAGGGCCAGAGCGCAATACGCAATGAAAGCAAGGTTAATGAAACTGATCCCATGGACAATATAATTGTGATAAAATTATCTTTATTATAATTGTTTAACGACTTTAATATAATGGATTTCCGCAAAGTAACGCCTGGTTCTATTTATTAAAGTATCTTTAATTTTTAATTAATTAAAGTATATGATAAATTAAATGTAATGACTTATTGATTAATAAAACTTTTAATTTTTTATCGACATTACAATAACTCTAGGCCCCATTCAAAAACTATTCGGAACTCCCCAAGACACCCAAAAATCTGGACATGTCCTGGGAAAACAAGACGGTTGGCGACTCTACATGACGCTACCACGTGTCACAACTACATAATTTGGCTGGCGAGAAATCGTTCAATTAAATTCCTATTTCCAGCTCTCCTGGGTGCAGCGATACTGTCAGGCTTGTGCTTCGGCGCAATTTGGTTGTTGTTCTGGTGGTTTTATGGCATACCCGTGTTCGCTGTACTGCTGTCCACATTGAATCTTGGATTTCTATTCGCGGCTATCCTTTACTTCGGAATGCCAGGTAACGACTCCCAATGATTAAAAAAAAAACAAATAAAATATAAATAACTACCTTGTTATGTAGTGGCGTAGAATAATTTGCCAGTGTCCGTCTTACCGTCCGGTTACGATATGGGTGGGTGACATCAAGGGAAGAGTGAATAGGTTTTTGGTTGCGTTAAGTTTAACAGAACACAGGCTGCGATTTACCATCTAAAGCTACGTCACCAATTACCTCCAGGGGGGTGGGGTTGTAATCAAGTACTGGCTTAAAATAAATAAAGAAGCTCCATTAATTTGGTTAAACAATGATTGTATCATAGGTAAAGGATAAGGATGGGCATACAATCCACTTGATTGTAAGTGTTAAGATGAACTGCCACATTTCAAGTGAAAAGGGTCTCCGGTTCTCTACACTCGCTATACGAAATATAGTATAATTATATAGCAGTAGACTACTATTATATGCTGGTATTCTGTGAGGACATGGTCCTCGGTCCTCCCCCGACTCTTCGTGCTACAACCATTATAGCTGCTGCTTGGCTTTACCGTGATTAAACTTGGTGGAGCTACGTGTCCGCTTTTTTTCTAAATACTTACCTCACCTGCACATAGTTTGATTCCGGAAAATCCACCTGTAAAAACTGAAAATGAATTTCCCAAGCCACTGATGGAAAGAAGCATTCGTTATATATATATATATATATATATATATATATATATATATATATATATAACGGTTCTACGCTCACTAACACGTTTGAAATATTGCAAGCAGTCGATATAGAAAAGTTGATTTAATTAAAAGTTCCATTAGAAATACTTTAGTGACAATAAAAAAATTGGTATTTTATTTACTTTCATGTCATAAGTTATTAGCCAGAGAAATATTTTTAGTTTACTTTTACGTATTACGTATTACGTCTAATGAACTAACGAATCTCACTGAAATTTTTGCTTTGTAAAAACAAGACTAATTAATAACATTTGCTCTAGAATGGACAATTATAATTAACTAGTTAATATTTTTTATTTATTAAAATGGTCTCCAAACATTTCAGGTGGTTTAACCGCACTACAAATTGACTTCAACTTCTGGGCCCTGTTCATATTAATTATGACACTTACATCCCTTATATTATTGTCCACGACCTTCCTCTCCGATATTCTTTGCTGCGCGATATTGGGCGCGTACGCAACTATATACCCTATTGATTATTACGTAGGGTCCAATTTGAAGTACATCATCATCAATACAATTAGAAGGGCAGTGGTACCGAAGTTTAATAACGCAGTGCTATTGCCGCCATTAGAATGGATGGGTAATTATTTTTACCATATTAATAAATAATATTACTTACATTTATTTATAAATAATGTTAAAAACATTTAAAAGGACATTGTGATATCAAATTATTTACAAATGATTTGGACAATTCAAATACGACATGAGTGCCCCCCGCCCCAGAAATCTAAATAATAAGGCTATTTCGATTTCTGTGGTGCCCACACATTCAAACTTTAGACCTACGCTTCTTTCCTAATACACAAACATTTGTACCATTAGGTACATATAGACAAAAATAATATTTAAAAAGGTAAAGCCATCGAAACTGGACACAAAGGTTAACTTTTTTTTATTTTCATTAATCAAAAAAAATTTAATGTTTTATCAAAGGTCAGTGTTTGGAAGACCGGCATACTTTTCTATACTTTAAGTTTAACTGAACTTATTGAACGAGATACGCTTTCTAAAGTGATTTGTGTCGTCGGAAATTATAGGTAATATATTAATTTACTTATATTGGTCTAAAAATTATATTAATTGCAATAATCTTCAGAATTATATGTTATTTTTTAAAAATCGGCGTGTAGACGGACTTGAGACGGAGTTGAAGTAAGTCCGTCTAGTAGCAATATAACCATAACTTTTGAGGCAACATTTATGAAAACAATTTCTAGCAGTGATACAAAACTGGCGTTGAAATGTGTGCTTAATGTTTTTGTCCATAGGGTTTAAATTTTAAAGTTATTTAATTTTAAGGCAAGTCCGGCATATCTTTGGTGACAGTGATTGCAAACATTTTCTATAAAATTGTAGCGAATTTTCTTTTAAATAAAATACTAAGTAAAAACATAAATCTTTATTTCTAATTGAACATGTCAGAACTATTTCAATCATATTTAGCATACCTGTCAAATTCCTTTCGTTTTTTAATTTTTTTTACCTTTGTATTTTTTTTTTGTAAAAGTATTTGTACAATGTGCACCGCCATCTTGAGGTTAAAAAAATAATTGGACAGGTATACCAAAAGATCCGAACCCGTATTAGAGAAGACATTAGCTAAAAAATATAGGATAAGAATCAGTTTAATAAGTTTGCATTTGAGTAATTAATTAGTTTGATAATCAAGTCGATTATGACAGGTAAATTTCTAGTAAATTGAAGTACTCGTATACAATAAATGGATTTACTACTTTCTTTCGCGCATATTCAACTGCTTGAGGTTTTTTAACCGATAAATGATGTCGCTTTTTGAATGCAGTGAACCACGTATTACCAGGTTCTCCGTTTTTAAATGGCGTTGATATTTTGTTCTTTATCACAAAATCGGCCACCATTTCCAGTATTTCTGTTTTTGTCAATCCAAAGCCATGCTTTTCCATCAGGTGAAGAACGAGAGCTAATTCCTTTTCTACTTGTAATAGTAATGCTGTGTTTCTTCCTAGTGAATTTGATTTGGTCCTCTTATTGTCAACGTGGTCCATTATGGACATTCTCGGAATCTTATACTCCTGAGAGGTCTTGTAACCACTCAGCTCCCCATTTTTTACAGCTCTTACTGCTTCTTGTAGCTTCTCCCTAGAATAGGACGCTTTGTCCGTTTTCCTTATATAGTTACTGACCATAATTGCAAAATTGGCACTCGTCGCTGGGATAATGGTCGTAAATAGCAAATTTGGAACATCCTTGACACCAGAAAAAATGAAATTCTAGTACAATTTGTATATTCGATGCTTGAATCTTAAAATGGCGTGGATAGCTAATATCTGATCTGTAGCTACAATTAAAACAACTTTTTGCAAGTATGAAGTGGGTTATTAACCAAGGCCACTTTTTTGGTTTAAACTTTCAAAATCGGTTCTTTGCAAAAAACGATCGATATCTAGAAAATCAGGCATCTTTCTGCATGACGTGTAGGTGATAAGTCTGAAACAAAAAAGTTACAGGTTCGATGATTTTGTGATTTTCCCAAATGGAGTAGCTATTTTGTTAAATATTTGCCATTTTCGAAAGGGAATCGAAGTGCAATGCGCAAAACCAAAATTCAGTAATTTGTAAAACCCGAGAAAAGCTTTCATAGCAACAACGTTTCAAGATTTGCATAAGAGCGCACCGAGCCTCCAGTAACGCCGCCAATCAATAAATAACATTACAGACGAAAACTTATAAAAACTAGGTTAAGTTGGAAACTATTTTTGTATGCGTTAATTCTTAGTTTAAATGTGTTCGTGTAGTAACAATCTGGATTAACGCCTAATCCAGATTGTAACTACACAAACACATTTAAACCAGGACTAAACACATGCATACAAAAATAGTTTACAATTTTACCTAGTTTTGTACGTTTCAGAATTTTATTAAACATATTTAGTTATTTCGTTTAATGACTTTTTCTTGATTGGCGGTGCTAATGGACGCACTATTTAAAACAAAAAAAAAATTATTAAATACGTGCAGCTGAAAAGGTTGACAATATCGGCATTTGAGGCAAGGCCGGCATATGACGGACATTCCTTATGCATGCTGGACGGACTTCCCAACTGTTACATTTTAAGGTTAGTATTTTGTAAAGGTAATTATTACGAAATTCAAGCGATATTAATGTATTCGTCACCAGATATGGATCACTAAATGACTTACGTAATTAAAGAAACTCCAAAAACACCATCGATTTTCCACTTTTTTTTGATTATTTTCTCAGAGACGTTACACTCCCACTTCAAGTTCACAACGCGAAATAAAATGGCTGACCGATTTCTTTCAACCTAATGATGTTAGCGACATTTTTATTTCTTAGTTCGAACTAGCTCCGTAATACTGTTTTACTGACCGAGGCATAAGAACCTAGTCGTTCAAAAATGGTAGTTATTGCCGCTAGATGGTCTTGTCTCCCAGACGGACTTCCAAACACTGACCTTACCTATTAGACAAATGTGATAAAAAATGTAATCAGCCACCTCAAATAGTTACGGTGACTTTTTGGAAAATAACAACTCAAAGAACACGAAAACAACAATAATTGATATTTAACCACTAAAATTAACCCCCCCGAACGGGTTCCCGCCTTGTCGTGGCGGGGGGCTTAGTAGCCGTGGCTTGGTCACCCACGGTGAACAAAGAGGAACCCACGTGGCTGGCCCGAGGTGAAGGGCCGGCCTGAGGTGGCCACTCCGAGTGGGCTTGGGGAGCCCACTTCGGATGTATGCTGGTGGACTGCAGCGCGTGGGGACTCCGCCCCCTCTACCGCTGCAGCCGAGGTGGAGTCGCGGAAGAAGAGGAGTGTTGGTATGACGATGCGCCACTCGCCCTATCCTCCGCGACTCAAACGGGGCCGCACCGTTGATGCGGTGGTGATGGGGCTGCGGGGGGAGAGGATTGTCGGTATTGCGAGGCGCCGCTCTCCCTATCCTCCGCAGTCTTGAATTGAATCTTGGTTGGAGGCGGAGCCATAGACCAGATCCGCCGCTGGGGTCGGGAAGGCTAGTACTTCTAAGTGCTCGTTTTTCCTGGCCCCATAGCCTTCGCGCATCGGACGCGGGGGCGTCTGTTGCGCAGATGTAATTGTAGGCCGTGGAGGAAGGCGTGCCATGTGTTCTGGTGCGCCATCCTTGGAAAGGAGAACGGGGAGGAATATTCCTCTCCCGAGGAGGAGCTGCCATGGGGCGGCAGTCGCTGGTAGGGCCGCGGAAGTGTGCGAAAGCATTCCCGTAGCCCTGCCAATATGCGACGAAGGTGGAACACCATGGGGTTTTAGTCGGTGCGAGTCCGACATAACCCGTCCTTGCCCCCGAGAGGCGGGTATGCGTAGGCATTTCCCCATGTTAAAAAAAAAGCCACTAAAATTAAAAAGTATACCAAAAGTTTCATTAGCAAAAGTACTCATTCTGCCTACGACTCTATGTCTACTGTAAGTAAATGAACCAGAATTAACAAAATGTTCCCAAATACATAACTCCGGCATCGATCGTTTGCCAGTGCTATGAATCGTCTAAAGCACAGCCTTTTAACTTTCTCTCGTGCGATAGAAAAGTTATTATTTAATTTATATAATTATATTAAGTTTTTTTTTTAATTATATATATATATATATATATATATATATATATATATATATATATATATATATATATATATATATATATATATATAAAAATGTAATTTTGATACAAATCCCTTTTGCCTTCAGACGCTATTTTGACGGTAACCTGGCTAGCTCTGGCTTTAACGGGGTTCCTGTTTCAACACTACCAGAATCGTGGACGACCACCGTTCCCACCTCCACCCAGAAGTATCAGACCAACCATGCCTGATACCACTTACGGAACCACGGGAGAGAGAAGGTATGTACCATTTAAAATACAATTTTTGTAAATATTTAGATAAATTTTTAATACTGTTCCCGCATCTTACGACCTCTGACGGCGTTCTTGAGGACCCTCTGTCCATTTCCGTAACTTTCAAGAATTGTCGAAAGTTATCAATTGCATAGGAAATCTTATTATGTATATATAAATTGCAACACCCTTACCCAAATACCTAGTACATTGTACTTAAATTTTGATTCTAAGTCGATGATAGATGAATATTGGTCACAATAACCATTTACTATCAAAAATAAACTGTAATTTTTATTTTTTAATGATTTTTATCCAATATAAATCAAGAATACTTATTGAAAGTCATATAGACTTTTACCTTTTTGCTTAATTTCGTTTTCGGACAATTTTTTTTATCCTTTCACGCCGAAAACGAACGAATTTTATAATTAATCAATTCATAATTATCATATTTGTTTGGGTAAGAAGAAAATACAGAAATGTTTATAATTTTTTTGTTATATTATAAATTTAATGACAGAAATAAAAATTACATTATTTGTATTTCTTGTTTGTAACAAAAAAGAAGTTTTTAAGTTGTTTAATTAAATAATGAAACTAAATGTGGACGGATTAACTAGTTATATTATATATTTTTATCACAATTAAACTTAGCATAATTTATCTATGTATAGAATAATAACTTTAACATAATTACAAATTTTCATAACAATTGTAAATTTTTGGTTTCAGTATTCGGTTGAAAATGCATATCATGCCGAATTTCCTTTACGTTTTCGTACGAAAAACATTTCCTTTTTTTTGAGCTTCTTCGCTCTAATATTTAAAAAAAATGATGACAGTACCTGCTATTACAGCAAACCCTTCCAAATTGGAAACGTTAATCCATAATCCCTCATCTGAGGGATGGAAGAGTCTCCATACAATCTCGGATAACCTGGCACAGTTCAACCAAAACTCAATTCACAATAAACCACCGGATCATGCTTATTCTATATTGTGAATTGTGAACACATTAGTTTTTTCACAATAATATATTCCAAAAGCAAAAAGTGTGTGTGTAATGGCTGCGTAACAAATGCAACTACCTTGCAGTGGCCTGTCGGTGTCGTAAAAGGCAACAGAGGAAAACTAAAACTGAAAACAACTGAAAATAATAAAAAAATGGCTACCAAACTATGGCAAATATCCCTTAAAGGGGTGTTAATATAGATAGGCAATCTATGGGGTGGGCGTATGTTCAGCTGTGGGGCTTTTGGCAGACTGTAATAATGAATGAACGTCACCCCATTTCGTCCCGAGGGTGTCTTAATTGGCGACTATAAGAATGCCGAAAAGATCTTATGAATTCATATGGATCTCAGTATCATGCACATTTAGATTGACAACAGCAAACAAAGTCAAAAATGCGAAATGATTGGTACCGTTATGCAATGAAGAGTTCCATTTCCAGCATACAGACTGCTGGTTAAGAAGAATGTTGTAATACTTAGTTTGTGTCCTGAACCATTACGTATCTTTATCCTTAAAACTTACGCCAATATATTACAAAATATGTATTATTGGTATTCTCGGGTTTAAAGTATGATATAAGAATAGTCCTTCTAACTAAAGAAGTCCCTTAGCCGCTGCGTCACAGTCCTTATAAGCGAAATTTGACATTTGCTGTCAAATGTCATATACAAACATTTTATAGTCAGTTCGATTAGATAAGGTCGCCTTCGTGTCGCACCGCCTTAGTACGTGTCGCATCTTGTCAAAGGCACTGCCTCGATATCAAAGGTCGCCGCGTGCGACGTACAACCGGACGAAAATTTGACATTTTAAAACGAAGCCCCGTAGTGAAAGGTTCTTTGCTACCTAACTTGTGTTTATTATTTTATTACAATTACCATATATAGTATTCTATTTTGTTCTTAGAGAAGAAATCATTTATTTAACAAACACAATAAAAAATTATAAAATAAAAGCGAAGTAATAAGTGCGCCTACAGGTGTACCGACACTAAGCGAACAGACTATAGTTCGCATATTTCTGCGGGACTTCTTTCGTGAAACAATAATTTAGTTTAAACTTGAGACTTATACTTTTTCTTACAACCGACTGACTCACTATTGACTACTAACTTAAAGTAAAATCATCGGTACATTCGAATATAATGCCATAATCACTAGTACACACATAGTACAAACAATAACTAATGCAGTACGTAAATTGCCTTCGCCTGGACTTCGGCCACAGATTAATAATGGAGGAACTTCACCTGAGACACATTTTCAAATATTTTTTTATAGAATAGGGTGACAAACGAGCACACAGTCCACTTGATGGTAAGTGGATGCTGTGGCTCACAGACATCTACATTTATCCCCGATTAAGAATCAAAATGCAAATGTGTGACCCCTGAGGACTAAAATGGAATGCCTCGTTCTCAGTAAAAAAGGTCTTCGGTTCTCTACACTCACCCTACGAAACACAGCAGCCTAAAGCTGATATTTTACGTTGGTATTCTGTGAGAACTTGGTCCTACCTCGGTCGAGCCGACCCATTCCTGCTATAACAAATACAACTGCAGCGTGGCTCTACCACGTATAAAAATTGTAATGTATTTTTGCTTCTAGTATTTAATACGACCATTCCACATAGAATAATTAACTGATTACCATATTTGTTTTTTCAGATACGTCGATGTTGCCCAAAGACCCACATCAGCGCATGAAGTTTACAATGAAAGTACTCCTTTGTTATTTTAAGCAAAGCTAAATTACAAACGCTGTACGAACATTTAATAAAATGTATTTATAAGCTAAAAACGTCTGTCTTAGTAGGAAATTGAGGATTTGTTTCTATAAGGTTTATTAATTTTAAAAATTACAAACACAATGCCATCTCATGTACTCGTAAAGATCGGGTATGGTCTTGTGCGGTCGCGAGCCTGTGTTGAGAAAAACGATCATTATATACTCAATGTATTTAACCACCATTTGAATATATCCCCGGTTTTTTTATTCTTTCTATTTTCTTAGTACTTACTATTATTACTATTACTTCCTAATATTCAAATATTTTTATAAAATAGTCACAAACGTACAAAATAGACAGTCGACTTAAATGCAATATTTTTTTACTTAAGTCAAAGTTACCGACTGTCACGCGCAGCGTAATAATCGTGTTTTGTCTATTATTAAGTCGTGTTCACACAAAGAAACATATAAACATGCACTTTTATTCAGTTTGGTTAAGGCCTCATAGTATTAGTAGACAAGGTCAAGCAATTGAAAAAAAATGGTATTTTTTTAAATACCATTTTTTACACATTTACATTTTACACACTAATATAACCTAGTTTTGTTACCATCGTAGTTTTGTTTGATAATTTTTACCAATAACTTACATACACACATTTATTATACAAACTCCATTTTTATCTAGCGAGATTTATGAGCGGCAATCCACTTGCTGACAAGTTTCAGCTCGATTGATTGGGAAGTTAAAACAGCTTTATTTATTAAACTGGCAAATGAACTGACCTGTTTACATCGATTTTGTGTCAATACTTGTGTGAGCAGTCAATAGCTTTAGGTTGTACATAAATAGCCAAACTCACACACAGTCACAGAAATTATAAAATCATATAACATTAAGAAGTGAGCGTATTTGATTTGAATTTAATAATATATACTCACCAAAAAACTTGCATGTACCTTAAATTAGGGAAAAAATTTTATATTTCTTAGCATTAAGTGCAAAAAATAAATAAAAACCTGTAAAATTGAATTATCTGTGGAATATGTGTCGACATCACCTGCCTTAATTTTTACTGGTGAATTATACCTACCTTTTTCAGTTTTGACTTATCAACTTTAACGTCGACGAAAAACGTACCTAGATGGCGTCGTCAATGGCAGGTCATTGTTATGTACGTTTGCACTGAGACACATCCAACACGTAATGTTTTGAAACAAATAGCATGAAATAAATCACACAACATGTTTCGTTGATGGTGGCGTTCGCCGTAGACAGAGAATAGGTTTCTCTGTCTACGGCGTTCGCACTCACAAAAACAGGTATTTAAACTTATCTTTCAACATGACAATATTTCTACATATTTGTTTTCAAACATTTTGTTTCTGTATTTATAAAGATATAATATAGTTAAAATATGTAACGTACAATAAACTGTCAAACATATTTCACTACATGTTCTTTGATTATGCAAACGCTGTTTGATACATTGACAGAAAACAGTGTTTAAAACATGTTTTTTTTTGCGAAAATCGCGTTAGTGCAAACTCACGGTTAAACTCCCATCGACAACGCCATCTAGGTACGTTTTTAATATCAATATTTTGAAATGCTAAATGCTGTGAAATAAATGATGTTGACATATTCATAGTACTCTATACGTGGTAGAGTCATGCTGCAGTTATATTAGTAGTATAGTTGTAGCACGAATGGGTCGGCTCGACCGGGGAAGGACCACGCTCTCACAGAATACCAGCGTGAAATAGTAGCATAATGCTGCTGTATTTCGTATGGTGAGTGTAGAGAACCGGAGACCCTTTTTACTGGAAACGAGGCATTCCATCTTAGTCCTCACGGGTGACAACGCATCTGCATTTTGATTCGTAATCGAGGATAGATGTAGATGTCTATGGGCCACAGCAACCACTTACCATCAGGTGGACTGTGTGCTCGTTTGTCACCCTATCCTATAAAAAAACTCAGTAATATTATCTTAATATTTAAATATGAATAGTTAAACCGATTTCAAAGAAATGATTTGGTATGTTGTCCAATGTTTAAGACTGATCACTTAAAATGTTCTCAATGTGAATTTTCAATAAAATTGTTATTTGCTTTATGTGTTTCCTTATATAGAGAACCTTATATTAATATACTATATCTCATTATAAACAATTAAAGTAGATCTGTCTGTGTATCTTAGTGTGTAACCATAAATTAGCGAGAACTGTTGTAACTTGTTTTATTAATTAACAGTAACCTTTTTTGTACATTTGTCCAAAATTCCTTATATTTTTTATTGTACTAAAAATTGTTTTTATATAGACCTTTACCTATTTATAAAGAATTAATATATATACCTACCTATATACTTATAATCGCGCTTGTCCGTAATTAGTTTAGTAACTTAATAAATCTGCCAGAATTTTGCACCGTGGTTTGATTTGAGGGATAAGTAAAGAAAATTTACCTACAGGCCATAACCTGCGTTTTGGTTCTCGTACTATTTATTGTGATTTTGGTAATAAAAATGAGTTAAGAGTTAGATACATAGAGTATTGGCATTTCGAGTGAGGAATGTGAATATTGGGATAGGGAGTCCACGCCAACGGAAGGCGGATATGCGTCTGCATTTCTGCGTGAAAAAAAAGTTACAGAACCAAGTTGTGAGGCATTTTATCTCAATTCTCAGAGATTTCAACGCATCTGTAGCGTTTGTTTTTTTCATTATTGGTCCCCGAAATCAAACCAACCATCAGATAAAATGCTACATTGTTCGTCACTTTAATGTTAATTAAATATTTGCTAATTATCGAGATTAAATAAAACCACACTTGCTAGCAGTAAAGTGCATTTGTAACGTTGAAGATTAACGAATTGAAATCAAACGCATTTGTCCTCTCCCGCGCAATCGGCGAGGGTACACGGGCCGACTAAATCTAAACCAATTATAAGCGTCGATAATCTGGACAATTGGTGTGTACTCGGATGCCAGGGAGACAAGTTTTGGAGCATACTTGTCTGCTTTTGATAGAATTCCGCTGTTGTAAGCTATATAGAGTGTTCTTTATAACCTACTGAGAATTTTTAAGTATAGGTGAAAATATAAAATAGAAAACACTTAAAACAAAAATAAATGTGATATCAAATGACCTATTACTAGATGCTGCATAAAATGAATTGTGAAGAAGAAACTAGATTTTTATTCAGTATTGTGACCTTACCAACAGGGATGTTCTTAACTTTTATTAAGGATAGTTACATGGTGTTTACTATATGTATATTATATTATAAATGTATAATATGCAGTAGTTTATATACTAAACAAAAAGCTTCGGCTTTGACTTAGAAAATAGATTAATGTAATGTTTTCTCTTCAATGTTATCTTGTTTAAAAAAAGTTGAAAATGAATCACTCTGTAAGTCTGTCCGTAGTTCGGACAAAGTTTAGATCAGTATAATGCCTACAACACGTTTAATCCCATCCCATTGTGATCCACCCTCCCTGTTTCTAAAATCTAGGGGAGAATGCATTTGTGTGCGATATCCCTGTATAAAACAGCATTCGAATTATAAAGAGCTAACACGCAAAATTAATATGTACCGCCCAAATATAGTTAACGGAATAATTTTCCCCGGGAAATTGTGTTGGGGTTCATCTAAGGTTTATGTAATAGAGTTGCATATTGCTCACAACACCCATCTGTCGGAGACTAGGTTGATAATAATAATATTTTGTCCCATTCTTCATTGCCCTATTGTTACCTTATTTGATACAGTTGAGTGTTCATTCACGTCAAATTGAGTTATGAATTTGGCAATTACCTATATCGTTTGACAATTAGTATGTGAAGAGGTATACTTGAGAATTATATGAAACAGCAAATGTGTAGCAGCATCTTTCTAATAAAAACTCAAATTTAATATTAAAAAATCGTTTCAACTGTGTTTCCTATGCGGCAATTATGGGCAGGACTGTTTTTACCAGTAGACGTTGGATTAAATGATTAAATAAATTAATGAATGAGCGTGAAAAGGCTGTGTAAGTAAAAGGCGCAAAAGTTAATGGTTAATGCAATATTTATTAATAAATTTCACTGTTATCTCCTCGCTCTATATGCACTTACAATCGATGAATAATTTATTTTACACTTATGTTCAAATTAAATTACATAAAGTAGATATCTACGCCTTCCGTATTGCAAGTCATTGGCATTGCAAAGAATCTATATAAAGTATGCTGTGAAACCAGCACTTTTATAAATTAAACGTTATATTACACATAATATACAAATGTAATGGCAACAAAAAAATTTAACAAACTTTTTGTATTTTTGAAAGAAGTTTTTAATGTCAATGACTGGAAGTTTAAAATATTTACAATGTTTTTGTTTTAATATTCCGAATTTAGTTATTTAACCTCCAAATTAGCAAAATAGGTATCGTCACTAAAAATAAACCTAATTAACTACCATATAATCACAGCAATATTGATCTCCTTAGTTTTTTATAAGAAATAAATAACATAAAATAAATAGTATCGAAAAAATGTGCCACAATAAAATTGCAATTACAAAGTACAACATCCATTATTACAATATTATTATACAAGAATACAAACATGCTTAGTTCGTATGACAATTTGTTGGCACACGCAGGGGTGACCAACAAATTGTCGTAACGAAGCTTATTGCCACGTTTTCCTCTGTAGCATTAATATTTCTCACCCCTATTGCATAGATCAAAGAAATAAAAAGGGTTGTGCACGCTAAGGGCGTATAACACTCAATTATTACAAACGTTGGCACAAACGATTTACATTTATTTTCTCCCTGGAGACGTAGTCTAACGTCGCTATGGAAACTTTCTCTACTCAACAATAGATGGCGCTTATCTATATTTACATTATTTTGTTACCGCAGCTTATTCAACCATACACAAGGAAATACGTAGCTGTACTATTATATATACATTATTGTATTGTGATAAAACAACTAGTATGAACATATTATGTACTGTGTCTGTAAGCAACATGTTTCCTTGTACTTGATTATAATAATATGACACTTACCACTAGGTTTGAACATCATCAGTTGCCTCTTACATTTAGCTGGTATTTTGTAGATTTAAAACTTTATAAAACAAATTATAATAACTTGCACCATATAACATTGAGAAAAGAAATCACTTGGTTGATATTGCGGAAACATAAAATGCTAAGTTTAGTTTCAAACACTTACGACACGGAGTTTTGTTCTTGTTGCATATCTCCCGCCAAAACTGTGGCGTCATGGCCGGCTGTCATGTTCAGAGCGGCGTTCATAGTCAAATGAGAGTCTGCATAGTTGTGCGCTATCTCACCACTAGATGGGGACTCGGGTACGTTGGTCGGGTTCTCGGGCATCGAAAGTAGTCGATGCGGGAACCCGAATAGCTGAGATCACTGAAGCCGCCCCCAATAATTTGATGCGAGGTCTGGTCCTTGCGAGGGAATTTGAACGGGCACACTCACGCCCGCTGATATAACACCTAAGATAGAAAAAAAAATTATAAAATTTTTGATTTAAACTATTCAATACTGTTGGATGTAGTTTCTAGGTACTTATTACTAATTTTGTAAAGTGTATGTAAGTAATTGAGCCATCCCTTCTTATCGCAAGGGTTTTCTCTTTTTTTTAAATTATATTTACCCTTTTTTTTAATTTTCCCTTTTTTTAATTAGCTGAGACAAGATGAAGCTGTAAGAGTCGGTTATACTAACAGCACTAACATCTAGATAATAGTAATATCGCAAGGGTTTCCAAAATTGATGTTAGGGTGATGGGCTAGGTAGATTATTAGATACTTAGCTTTTTAGCACTGCTAATTAAAAGCAGATTTTGATTAAAAATATTGAACATTAAATAAAATTAATAGTTTTTAAACCTATCTCATGAAAGGGACTCCGAGAGACGTTAATCAATTTCCCAGGTAGGCAGACATACGCTAACACATCTAACGTGAAACCTAGTAACGTCATGTATCAATATCAGCTCAGCCATATGTCTAATAGGATTGCAATTGCGTTCCGTTTATTACACACAATCGCGTTATCTGGGCACGGTATGTTCGCTCAGTTCGATTATGTCCCGCCGCAGTCAAAGCCATCATAAAGTTAAAGCCATCAACGTATCTATGAATGTGATATAGATTATATAATATAATATCTATATCGCATCATATATATTATATATAACTATGTTAAACAGAGTGGATGTAATTTAGTGATATTTGTTTATTCAACTGACGTAGGTATATGAACTTTTCAATCTAAGATTGTAACAAAAGTTAAAATGAAAACGACAAATTAAGTTGCGTCAGGACTCTCAAGATTAATGAATCCCGTATTCTGTAACCTTAACGTAATTTATAACAAATGTACTTGAATTTCTAGAATTTTAAATAAAGACGGTTAGATTAGACTGTAATTCACACAATCACTTCCAAGCTGAAAAATTTACAGCAGTGTCCACATTTAATAAAGACACAGATGCATTGAAACGTGGAGATAACCTTAAACATTACATTCTTTTCATTCATAAATTTTTAATACCAAAACGTAGTAAGCGCAACATAATTTTTCGGATTTTTATAAGTTAGTCAAAATACGCAATTTTAAAACTATTCATGTAAAATATAACACCTTACATACATGTATCATCATAAATGGTGTCTAAAGTTTCGTTAGAGAAGCTACATAAATCCTCGATCGCATTGCACGCTCCGATCGCCGCGTGCAAACTGGCGATAACAGTATTCCGTTCCGCGCCGCGACGAAGGGGTAGCGTTTACATTCATTACACGTTATTATCGGCTCTAAACAGCGCCCCTGCGAGACTCGTTTACTCAATGGTTTGTGTCTGACCGCCCGCTTGTTTACGGGCCCTACAAAGTCTCAGCGATAAAATAGTTATCATTATATGGTATGTTATATCGAAGAAACGTTGAGAGAAGAAAATATAGATTTTTAAAAATAATCAATTAACTAGCTTCATTAAATGAATTAAGTTAAAGTAAGAGAAGAATGTAAACAAGTGGTAAAATTAAAAATTTTGTACAACCGATTTCAATATGAGAACATTATCAATGTATTCGAAGTCTTAAATACGAATTAAATACGCATTGTTAAGTATTCTATCTTCTTTTAAATTTTATATGGGATCTTGATAACATTTACATGGGACGACACGAGAAGCACCAGCTTTCAAATAAAAAAGAATTACCAAAATCGGTTCACCTAAAAAAAATTTTTGAGGTAATGCACTTAATACAGTCAAATTGAAAACCTCCTCCTTCGCGTTTACTAATTGCTGATGACTTACTTTTAAAATAATAACAAAATTTAAACAAAATATGCAACACTAAAGCGTAAATATCAAAAAGTAGAACAAGTCTGTATTATTTAATATCGCGCGAAACTGAAAATGCACCCGTCGAAAGAGCGCAAAAGAGTAAATGAAACGAGAGCGTGCGTTCTGAATTGCGAAAAACTCTTTTGTTCCCGGCTGCTGCTGGAAACTCTGCAGTTGAACAATGCGAGGAACGCCTCAAACAACAATAATTCATACCGCTTTCCGCCACCTACGGCTAAAAATGTCCGCCGCGTGATATATAATATCAAATGGAAAAGATACGACGTTCTAAAACAATGGAAACACCATCTCTCTACGGTTCGCTCTTTTTCTGAATGCTAATAAATCTGAAATATCTATTTTTGACGATTTGGTTAAGTTAGATAGCTATGTTGAAAATCCGCTTGCATTTGGGCGCGTGCCAATGGAAATTAAAAAACACCGACTCTACCTACTATTTGTTAACGAAACCATCCGATATTCAAAATCAATTTAAAAGCCATTTGTAAGGAACAGACAACGGCAAATCCAATCGGGATGCGAGCTTCTATTTTTCCCTCTTTTCCCTTTTATTTTTTGTTTTCTCGTCATGTCGCGGTCTTGTGAACCAGACGCCCCTTACTCTTGAGTCAGCGTTTTTTACATTTTATTACGAAGTTGGTAAATATTTTCCGAAGTCTGATTTCTTCAATTTTATTGTATTTACTTACACGTTTGACTTGTTACGTATAGAAATAGAATTCATAATACGTTTATATGCTATGTGAACAAACGACAATTATAATTTATATTTTTCAATAAAACAAAAATGAATTTACAAGGAATTTTTTTTCAGTTATCTGTTTCCAGATAACTGAAAAAAAAAACAGTTGTAGTTTCCAAGTTCAAAAACTAACAACGAAGTGTTAGTTTTTGAACTTGGAAACTTACGTTACATAATATTTGTTATTTGCTTTACAAAAAGGCTGGGAGTGCATATTCTCATGATCAAGGCAGTTATCAAAAAGTTGCATTAGTACCATAGACCATACTATACCATAGACATACCATTCGGCAAACTATATTCAAGACCGAAGAGTACAATCTGGTATTTTGTCCTGCGTATGTAGGCAATGAGAAAGCCTTGGTTTCCGTCGAAAGTCAGGCGGTCCAACAGTACTCTTCAGCAATGCCAGTTGACTGCCATATTTCAGATAACGCGAAAAGCTGAAGCTATCACGGCTATTTAAAAACAAGACCTGAGCTAAAAACTTATCCAACGTCAGAGAGGTAATCCAAGACAAGGTGACGTTATATCCGAAAAATTCGAAATTATCCAACCAGTTAAGTTCAACTTTGACCAAGAAGTCAATTGACGGATCCAACTCGGCTGGGCAGTGTTCAGAAGATTTTGAATAACGACACATCTCTACACGTAGGTATTCCTTAAAAGTTGGAAACATAAGTGTACAACCAGTGCGTGTGTTGATATATGGATTTGAGACATGGTTCTTCACTAGTGATCTGAGAAAGCTAAGGTAGCTTAGCGAGGTATGATAACGGCTATGCTCGGAGTTTCTCTATGGGATATAGTTTGTAATGAAGGTCTTATCCTTTGTAGAATCAGAGTAACCGACCTAGCAACGGATCAGTAAGTTAAAGTGAAAATGGGCCGGTTACATAGTGCGACGAACTGAAAACCGATAGGGAAGTAAGGTGGCAGCTTCGTACCAACAAGCGGAGTTGAGGATGAGGATAGATGACATGCAGGAAGTCCATGAATGTAGGTGGCTCAAAACCTTGTTTTGTTTTATAATTTGGATTTGGCCTATGTTCAACAGTGGTCTTGTGAAGGGCGGCAATGTTAATGAATAAGTATTTCTAATTCCATAATTAGATATGGAAGTAGAAACACTTATTCGTCACTTTGCAAAACTTAAATTCAAATTTCGTTTACTTAACAAACATTTTCTTTATCTATACATTAATACATTCTTAAAAACAATATTTTGATTTCAATATTTGCTTTGGACTGTCTATAGACAACAAATTATTATCATCAAATAAAAATTAATGTATTGCTCAGAATCACTTGGAAGAAAGTGTGGTGAGCTCTTACCGTTTTATTAGTCTTTCTTTTTTGACGGTTTCTTCATACAATGGCTCAGCGTTTTCTCTGGGAGCGTGGTCCTTCCCCGGTCGAGCCGAGCCATTCGTGCTACAACTATACTACTAATATAGCAGTAGCATGGCTCTAGCACGTAATGCATGCGTGTGTGTTAATGTGTCGTATAGTGTGTGTAAGTGTGTAGTGCGCACTGACCGGTGCTGGCGGCGGCTTGCGGCTGCGAGTAGCCGGCGTGCTGCTGATGTGCGGCGGGCGCGCGCGAGTAGCCGCCACCCAACACGTCGCCAAACATGTACGGGTAGCCGCCATCGCGCTGCTGCAGGCACGACGAAGACAGTCCCCCTGACATCGAACTGTCGGAACCAAGCGCACTGTCAATATCACGTGGGAAAGTGCGCGTTAGAGATATACTATATTTTTATGTGAATCAATTAAAAGAATCAATAGTACCTATAATGCGGAAGTCGATAGCAAGAGTATAACGACGAAAAACAAATTAATTGTATAAATCCATGTGTAAATAATACTTGACTTAATAATTATATGAACTTGAAAGTATTGTTTTAGTAAGGATCGGATTTTGGCACATTATATTTGTTTCTGGCTATACATGTCTCATTCAATAAATACAATACAAAGATATTATTATAAAAATATCATATTTAGCGTCTAAGGAAAACAAATTATTAAATAATTTCAATAATAGTACCATATAGGTATCAATTATATTTAAGACTTAATTGTCATTAAAATGTTACTTGATTGATATCGTAATATTTAGCGACTAAAAGAAATTCATTATTGCATAACTGTAACTGTACCGTGCTATATGTGAAAATAGTTTCCATAAAAATGTTATTTTAAAAAGGTTTTATAAATTTATCCGTTGAATAAACTAAAGGAAAACTTCCCGTCTGAGTAAGTTAATGTAGACGACAAAAGTTAAAGTCCGTAGTTAACTATTAAAAATCAATCCATGTGGAAAGTCGACCGACCTTCGGATCCGTAGTTCGGAACGTCTCGGTGCAATGGCGGGAAACGCAAAGGAGGCGCGATCTTTGCTACTCGATTTCCCGCGCTATTTAATTAAATACGCCGCTCGATGATAGATGGCGTTACCTCCTTTTTTCTTTTCGCAAAAGGTATATATAATATCAAGAGGTTTGTAGAATTGTTTGTTTTATAATTCATAGTAATATGTTAAGTTGCTTTATAAAATAGAGCTTTAATAAATTTAGGTTTTTCTCATCTCATTTCTAAGAGAAGTAAAAGACATGGTTTATAACCTCAAACAAGGCTTCAAAATTCTTTGATATCGATTATGATTTGTAATGGTAACAATCATCGTTGGTTTATCCAACATAAGCAAGAACCTAATTTAAAATTATCGCAATATATTTTTTGGTGTATGTGTTTTCCTATAATTAGGATTATTATGTTATAGACGTTTTATTGAGGCGAGGTCCCTGATAATATACTTAACGAAGCTTTGAAGTTGGGAAATCTATTCTCATAAGCTGACTTATCCCACTTTACAATAAAGCAGGTACTTGAAACACAAAAACCACGAATAAAGTGGGCAGAATCTAGAAACATACTTTTATATGGGAACTATTAGCTTAAGTTATTTGTAACGTGCTTAGATGGGGGGATTGATATTTAAAAAAAACAACCTATAGAGCAAGTGGGATTTCAAAGAGGACACCGTACTACCGTACATCCACACTTTTGAACAAATAATAGAGAAGCACTAAAAACTGAAACAATTATTCTGAAGCTACCTTTCTAGCATTCGTTGACTGTATCAAAGCTTTAGACTTTATATCACACGAAAGCATAAGGTGAGCCTTATATTGTCAAAAATTCCAGAAACTTAAATAAACATTTCGAAACATATTTACAGTAACAGTGAAAGGCTCGATTTAATAGGTTCTAAACTCAAAATTGTTAAAGGTGTTATGCAGGAGATCCTCTTTCATTCACGATTTTCATATCCGTTTTACAAAATATAATGAAAGATCTGAATCGGGAACAAAAAGGAATCTACATCAATGGACACAATGGTTACTTCGTAAAATCTTGGATTCTCTGACGACATAGTGCTCTTCTCCAAAACGGCCAGTTCAGAAATGATAAAAGTGTTAAGCACGGTCAGCGAAACACCTAATAGTTTTGAAAATAAGCACCTCAAAGACAAAAGAGATTACAGAAGGGCACTCTTATAAAAAGCACACAGCACACACAAGTTGGCTATACAAAGCTTAAATTCGAAAAATTTAGCATACATTGTAGGATGCCTATTACCATAAACTAATACAACATAAAATAGGCCCTGTATCAGTAAACAAACAAGGAAATAAAAAAGCTTATTATTATTATTGTTGTTGAAGCTAAAATCAAGAAGAAAACATGTCTTCCATCTTTTTCATGACCACAGACAATTATCATTTATGCCTGATCACAGATTGTTTATACAATTTTCCAATAGATACTATAGTATAACGATACAAATCATATGAAGAATTAGCTTTATGTACAGGCCGCTTCATGAAATTTGTACTAATTTCAGTAACTAAATTTAGTTAGTGAAATTAGTACAAATTTTTTACTTAACTCACTGCTATAATTTTCGAAGTAATTTTTATGTTTACTATAAGAAGATCTGACTTCACTTCTGCGCACCACCTAGGTATACATTAACTCACCTGTATGTGTCGCTCATGGTGGCTATGGGCTGCGGTATGGGGCTGTACATGGAGTTGAAACCGCCGTTGAGGGGAATGCGGGGTGGGGGCGGGGCGGGGGGCGAAGCCGCTGGCGCCTCCCGACGCTGACTTCGGAGCTTCTCTTCGCGTCGCCATTTCGCGCGGCGGTTCGAGAACCACACCTGATGGTAAAGATTCGTTAGTTGTTTTTTTCTGAATTAATGTCTTTTTACAAAGACTTGTTTTCATTGTAGTATTCTTAATAAATTAGAACTAAATAAATAATATTGGTTTTTAAATTTATGACAGATTTTTCGAAATTATGTGTCTACTCTGACGATTTAAGCTGATATTATATTTTTGCCGTTTCGTTATAGAAATTTCCGTAGTGAACTTTGGGCGAATTTGTTTTCTAAATATAAAACTGGTGATGGCATTTTATGATTTTCCGTAGCAGAGCAGCCGAGCGATCATTGCTCGGCGTTAGAATTATTTTCAAGGTTAAATAATCCCTATATCTTACTAGCTAGTACTATTATAATTCTCTATTCTCTCTCTATTCTCTTACCTACTTCTACTACCTGTCTGTTAAACCGTCTACTACTTTTTATCTAGTTGAATTGGCAAGTGAAACTTTATCTAAATGCAAGATTTCATCCAAATCTTTAGTACCGTTTTCGAAACACCAGTTAGGTAGGTACATCATACAAAATAAGGTGGGTGTACCATGGAAGGCCACTCTAACAAATGAACAGTTATTATTCGTTTATTTACTGGATAAATGAAACTAACAAATATTTAAGTAATACTTTGACTTATTACGTAACGTATAAACCACTTTTTTAAATTGCAGATTTAATCAATATTGATTGAACTTAAGTTTCATTGAACTCTTCCAAATGGCCTTGCTAGGAACAAGGCTCCTTAGAAGGCCATTATAATAAATCAGTCATTTAACACTAAAGTTTAATAATAAAAAAGTTTAATAAAAAAAAAATTATTAAAATTTTTGTTCATAAATTTTTTTTTTTGGGCCTTTTCCCCTTTTTTCGTTTCTCAGAACAATGAAGCGAGGCTTTTCGCGGAAAAGTAGTGCGGGGTCCGCGTTTTTTTCGTTCGTGTTTTTGTGTGAGATTTGTCATCACATGCATAACTACATATTTTCATAATTGGCCTTCGAAGGAGCATGGCCTTCCATAGTCCACCCACCTTATGTAATTTGTTTATTGGATACATAAGAATTGCTCACTTAATGTGTAGGAATTATAGCATTTAACTTCATCTAATGCTAAGTTGTTTATATATTTCACTTGTAATATTTTCTTAAAACTAATAATAATTATAGGTAGCTGTTTTCCTCGCAAAGTATTAAGTGTATCCGCGTCAAAAAATTTTACGAATTTTCAATCAAAAGTTTAACTTAGCATAAATTATGATAAATGTGCTGGCTTTTCAATATATTATTATAAAACTTCAAATACCAGCTTTGAATTGTGAAAATGGTAAGAATAAGAAAAATACAGTTTTATTTTAAGATAGAGTAGGTATTACAGTTGATATGATATTCATTTGAAATAACTCTTAGTCTTACTATAGTACTACCACTTAGTAAGTGCTAAAATATCGGCGCAAGTCGATTTTAATAATAAATTGTACATTCCTTTAACGCTTGCCTGCTAGGGTATGCAAAGCGGACTAAAAACGTCGGGAATATAAAATAATAAAACGCGATAAACTCTCTAAAAATCTGTTCTATTCAATACACAAAGCTCTTAACAAACTTAACTATCTAAACGAACATCACTTATGATTGATTTTTAAGCTTGTAATAAACTCAGGTTCCGATAATATAAAAATAACAATAAAATAAACATTAAGGGTCATTTGATTTTATAATTCTTTGCTAAAATTAATTTGAAATGTTTTTGATAAAATAGTAAACTAAGTATATATATAATATATCTGTTTTTAAATTATCAAAATTGATACGTTTATAACTTAATAAATTAAAATAGTAAGTATGCAACAATGATATGTGTCTTGTTGCGAAATTGTTAAAGTTTCAATTAATCCAACCATGGATATTATATTGTGACATTGAAGCGTGCGAAACGGAACACAGCGCCGGAAGTAGCCCTCACGTGCGCGTCACTTCCGCCACCGACAGTCATGGCAACGTGACGGCAACATGGCGCCTCTGCTCTCCTTGCCGAAGATAAGTTTGTTTCAAGCAAATACATAATAGTGATGCTCGTACGTCTTTGATATAATATATTAAAATAAGTTCACTCTGAATATTAAGTAACATTTTTTTATATTTGCAAATGGAATTTTATTATATTATAAATATATTTTTAATAGATTTCTGAACTTGTTTCGTTGTTACTTTTATACTATTATAATTTAAATCGATATTGGCAAAAAATATCAATGTGTATAAAAATACAAACCTAAATGTTGCGTGGCAAAATACAAGAAGTACCTACCTAGAGCTTAATATTTGACTTAAATTGCCTACCGAGAAGAAAATAGGGAAACCCGAAAACCAGGCGCGCTCAAAGAGGTCGCACAGAAGGCAATATGTCATAATATTATTGCTTCAGCCTCCAACGAAATCGCCGGAATGTTGCCGACAATATTTTATTCGAACCCTCGCAAAAACAGAAAAAAATATTATAAGTAAAGGACTAGGTACTTGAGCCGAGTACACACAATAAAAAAAGTAAAGATGTTTTAATTTAGAGCATTTAAACATTAATCAATAAAATACTGACACATTAATTTTATTTAAAGTTTGAATTAAGTTAGAATGGTTATTGTTTAAATTTAAATCGTAAGAAAGGAAAACTTTGTGGCGAAAACGAATACGCTGCAGACTTCTTTTATGATTTTGACTATTGTGATTTTAAAGTTACTATAAATACATGGTAGGAATAATTCGTTAATAACACGTGGGTATAAATAAAACACACGAGACACTAAGCCCAAAAATGTTTTTGTAAATAAATATAAATAGTGTGCAGTACTTTAATTCATAATTTTATTCTGAAGATGTAAAATTCATAACACTTTTCTGAAGATGTAAAAGGTCACAAAACGTCATTTCGATCTTACTGTGCTCCATATGTAATGATCCTTATGCCACAGTAAAATATTATGACGTCTACGTTTTTTCCCTTTCTATCCATAGATATTTCTTCGTGACAGCGATGACAGGCCTTTTTCCCGCCTCCACGTCATTTCCCGTTGGCCTTTTATAAATTGTACCGCTACCCTCATAGTTGACGAAATATTATTAGAGGGGGGTTCCTTAGCAAATGAGATTAACAATAATTTTGTTATTACCAACAAGTTGCCGCAAACATAGCAATTGTCGCTGCGTTTTATGTTTTGGTTTCTGTATTTATATTACTTTATTTTATGTTCTTGCATCTTACAAAATATACCAAAAAAAAAGTTAAGTTTCAGTTTCTTCATACATCCCGTCTCTGAGAGGGTTATGGAACAATTTTGACTTAATTTTTTATAATTACTGATCATAACCAAAAGTAGTTTAATTCCGTACGTGAATAGTAGTTTGTGATATTATAGTTCATTATATTATATGGAAAAATGTAAACGTGGTAGAGTAATGCTACGAAATAGCAGCATTAAGCTGCTATTTCAAGCTGTGAGAGCGTGGTCCTGCCACGCTCAAGTCGACCCATTCGTGCTACTACCATAATATAATTGCAGCTTGGCTCTATCACATAAAATTTAACGAAAGTTTAATACTCCATTACACGACCTTCATTTTTTTGAAGACAGAAAAATCCTGTGTCTATAAAAATGAATTAAAATGACTAAAACTGGGATACAAATGATGTAATATGCATATGATTAGGTATTCTCCAGTAAGTATCTAATCTACTGTATTGTGATATATTGCAATAAAATGTTTTTCCAAAAAAGCACTCTATAAACAAACCTATTTACTATCTGTCATGCAGGATATAAAAAAACACTACATAAATCAGAACGTAGCTAAAACACTGCGAAATCTTTTCATTTACTCAAATGCGAACACTAAGTACGTTTTTCAACATCCTTATGTAAAGTAGAATAGATTTCAAATTCGCGAAAATTGCGAGTGAAATCTTGTGTGCGTTGGGTGCCAATTTTTCAGAACACACCCCACCCGACAGGAAATTCGCCCCCGCTTACTATAGGCTCGGGGATCGATACCCGGTCCCTAAGCTTACAGTGACCATATCTTTTTACGAGAACTCGGGATAATTTCGGTTATTACATTTCAAATAACTGAACTTCTGTTTCAGATGTTGACTGCACAACAATCAAGTTAGCGATACTAAACAAAGGACATTGACTTATACTTAAGCATTTATGAGTTGCTTGTAGTTAAATGTACAGAAAGAAGGTTAAAAGTTTGGAAAATTAATTGTAAGCAAGAAGTGAAGAATAATAAAAACAAAGTAAAAGTTCTCGTGATGTTTAATCAAGTTATAGCAGTTTGTGAAGGAAAAACGGTTTTATTGATAGTCTCCATTTATTTGACTTAATAATAAATATTTAATAGAAAAATGAAATACAGTACGTAAATATTGAAGAGGAGCTGTGATTATTGATAGCGAATGAGAAAAATTGCTATGAGTTCCATTGAAATTAAATGAAGACGTGAAGTATGCGTGGGTATTAGAGATATTTCTAAATACTAGTTAGCTAGATAAATGGAAGTACTTTATCTATTTAGCATAAAATGACATTTTGAAGTACCTACTATCTAATTAACTATGTAAGACCGTGTGAGAATATCCACTACCCCATAACGTTCCGTGAAGGTCGTAAGAGGCAATAGAGGGAAACAAATCAGGAGATGGGCACAGCATCTTTCCAATAACGAGTCAAAAACTAATAACTGTGGTTGCCAATCTCTTGCTAAGCATGGTCACTATAGCAAAAATACTTTCCATAAGTGGCTATTTATGGTAATAACTATGTCCAGCAATGGACTTGGGTAGGCTTTGAATAAATGAGAATATAACCCAATAGTTCTGTCTGGTTAAAGAAAGCCACCGTTATAAAGTTGGAAAATATAAATTAAATTTCATGGACTGCCTATTCTCCATTCCGACACAGCCTTGAACCCCAAGCCTGGGGCAACACGTGGCGTCGGTCGCTCGAATACGAAACGATTTGAAACCCTCCTTGAAAGCCTCGCTACATTATACGCAAATAAACAAAACTCAACTTTACACATTAGAGTTAAAGTCTAATGTAGCCTGACGAGTGTTACAATTTTCATTAAGGGCTGTCAAAATCGATTAATTTTTTTTTTATAAAATATTCTACGTTTATGAATCAAATTAAAATTCAGTATCGTAATCCTAATTTGTTATATACTTGGAACAATAATATATAAATTCAAACAATGAATATTTTTGTTAAAAGTTCATTAACAAGAATTTTAAAACATACACCACAAGAAGTTTTAAAAAACACAATGTAAACAAAACAGTAACTTATTACCTAACTTCTTTTATGTTTTATAGAATAGAATAGATTGGAGTATTTTTATTGACATATATAATAACTCTTTGAAATTATTTGTTTTACTTTTATTTATTTATTTACTTTTCTTCAATGATTTGGAAAAAATCTGTCCTGAGAAGAATCAGCTTACACATAGAGACAATAAAATGTATTTTTTTTTAAGTTTTCGTATATAATTCGATACTTGTATACATATAATATACAAGTAAGATAATGTGTACATTTATACACGAATCAAAAGAGTATTAAAACTCTGAGTCAATTTTTTTAATTATGAGATGTTTTAAATAAATAAACATTTCTTAAAAAATGCCTAGCAAATTTCTATAAATTTTAATATACGTAAAAAGTAACCCTACAGATAACCAAGTACTTGTTGACCGTACGGACTAACATTGCACCAGCGTAGTAGCTCCTACGAATGTTAAATAACGGCCGACGACGAGAGGTTAATGTAAGAGCTTAGCCCCGCTCTGCCGCTGAAAACAATGTCGCCGCCATTTTGCTTTTTTTCTCGACGAACAAGAAAACTCTTGCTGCGCCTCGAAAAAGAAAAGTTTTGAATTGTTCGCGTTTTCTCTGTTTTATTCATGGACGCTGCGGAGATATTTATTTGTACAAATGTAATAAAAGGATGCTTTAAGTTTTCTTTTTTTTACTAATAAATAAGCTTACGCTATGGTTTTATTTGCGCAGAAAACTTTTATTTTGACGACGTTGTTCACTTAATGTTGTTTGTTTACATTAGCAATAAATGATGTTATTAAATTCATTGTTAAAAAAAATAATCTCATATTGACGTTTCGCATTCTGCCTTATAATGTATTATCACTTTAAATAATTCAATTTGTTTGGTATACTTTGTTCCTAAGTGCTTCGAATAGTTAAAAGGTTGCAGTCAAAATTGCATTAAACCATTATAAAACTTGCGCCAAGTTGCTCCGACTTGATAAACGACCTTTTAAACTGTTGGCAACGAGTGTGGCGACTGACTAAGTGGGACAGGAATTCTTTTATACGCTTCGATTAAATTCGAAACTGATGCATATTTTGTTGTTTGTCAATGTGCAAATTAAAATCGATCGAATTGCTTTATTCGAGATTTAGTTTACAACATGCAAAAATTATAAATGTAGTAAATGTAACGTAAAAATTATAAAATAATTTATACGCTACGTGGATAACAACTTAATCGTATTGAAAATATTTTCAATTAATAAATACAAAATATAAAGAGGGTTGTATGAAACTTTTTGATTCGAAATATTATAAATAGTTAAAACAACACTGAAAGTTTTATCACAGAAACTTTCGTAAGTGAAAAGTACATAAAAAGTACTAGGGCGTTGACATTTACTTAGTTAGCTTTGAAGATATTTAAGACCTGCCTCACTGTTAACAATAATATTTATTTCAAAATGAAGGGATGAAAACAGAATTATGGTAAGGATTACATAATACGGTTACGGCTCATGCCGTACAAATTATTTTACATGTTCACAGTTTCATAAATTATAATATCACCACACTACTATTCATCAGATGTGTTTATTTAATGCACATTAAATGGTATATTTTTTAAATCGTCTGCTTGCTATTTGTACATTAATCTATGCACACTTCTTAGCCTTTCTAATATCTTTGTACGAATAAAGTGGCTCATTTCACAGGCTATTCCGCGGTTTACGTCAGCTGAAAGTTTATATAACTGCTATTTTAGTAATCAAACAGCTTCCTCGACCTTTCGCGCCGTATTCCGATCGTGAATATTATGAAAGTGTCAATACTAGACCATTAACGAAACTGTAAGCACAGTTGCTGTGGCCAGGTAGGAATCACAGAAATCTAAATAATAAGGCAATTATTATTTAGATTTCTGTGGTAGGAATAGTGGAGAACGACGCACGAGTGTACAAATGAAAAACACCTTTGCCTACCTATGTATTTCTATGATTTAATTATTTTACTACGATTTTTGTTTGTGTTTAGAAACAAAGATAAGTTATATTTTTATCTTATAAAATCAAGTACTGATTTTCCGCTTAAAACTCACGTTACAATTAGTCAATCGAAGCCAAACTTTTCGCAAGCAAAAATTTTGGGCTACACGAAGAATTTGAAACAATAAAACGTGCTTTAAAATCATTATAAATCTTACCCTCATATTCCGACCGTTATATACACATAATATGTAAATAACCATATAATATGTGTGTTTACATTAAGGCATTGGTGGGACTATTATTATCCCTTGTTTTTTTTTAGATTGTTTGCCAAAGACGCATCTACATGCTGCCCGCGCCTATGTAAACACGCAGTGTAAACAGACCCTTAACGCATCGCCCCTTTTTAATAAATATCTTGATTTCGTTTTTTTATATGTATTAATTGCATACAAAAGTGAAGGAAATGTTTAAACGGTAATCGTTTTTAATGAGTACCTACCTATTCTTAAGGTGAAGTGGGCGCCAAAAGCAGATTTATCATGCTTTATAAAGTGCGACCGGCGGCTGTTTGGTCTGCCCGCGCGCTATTTATTTCATATACACATTACTTATTTGATATTTCTTTTTAAAATTATATATACTTTTTATTGAAAAATAATTTTTTGCGATCTTTTTATGTTTTGGCCAACATAATTAACTATGAAAAATCTTTAACTTTCGTAATAAATTAAAAAAAAATGTGAATCCGTAGTTTTTAATGACAAAAAATTGCTTTCCTGCGCACCTATAAAGCATGAAAAATCTGCTTTTGGCGCCCACATCACCTTAATAGTAAAGATGCATAAACGATAATAAGCGCTATTTATAAATATTCACAGGTGGCCACAGGACCTAATCTCAATTTTCAGAAGGTTTTAGAATGAACTAGAATAATTTGTCAAGTTATTTCAGTGCGCCAGGATTATCAGGTTCAGGTTCTTTTACAATGTTTTTCTACATGGCCAAGCATATGGTAAATCAGCAATTATAATAGTTTTAGTGATGTTAGATAACAAAATTGCTGTTTCAAAAATGGATTATGTTTTCCTCGTAAATGTGATTTCGTTAAAAAATATATATTTAAGTTTGTTTTATGTATAAATGTTTGTAAAATTGCAAAATATGTTGTTACTCTACCTACTTAAAAGTATAAATACAAAGCAGCAGAATAATATTAGTCACAAAAAGTTTTCCCTCCAACAATGGCATCCATTTTATGCGATCCGCCATTTTCCGTAGTTAGTGAGGCACAGACAATATCGATACAGCCATCTTACCGCGTTGTAAACTGGAGTTTATTTTACCTGGATACGTGCCTCAGGCAATCCGATCTTTTCAGCAAGTCGCTCCCGCGCGAATACGTCCGGGTAGTGCGTTCGCTCGAATTCTGTCAACAATCAATAAATATAAATTTTTTATCCAAAGTATTAACTATTTCACTAATTTATTACAGTCTATTAAAAGTCCACTCCTGCACATAGGCTTCCTCCATAAATGGGCCCATAAGGGGGGGGGGGGGACATTTATCATAGTTGCCACCCTTGGTAGGCCGGTAGGCAATGATAAGTTTTTTTTTATTATTTTGGGTTGTAATCAAGAAGATGCTGCGGCCTATCGCTTGTTTCATTTAGCAAAGTTCCCTCTTGAAATACCCTCGGAACGAAATAATGTGATTAATTCTTTTACGCCACTACCACACGCAACATTCAAATTATAAGATTATGTAAAAAAAAAAACTCGAAAATTTAGAACATGGATTTAAGAAAAAAGTAGTGCAATAATGTCAATTTCAAACAGCAGATTCAAAAAATTCTTCTATTAATTTTTTATTAACCCAAATAACAACAGCGTGTATAAAGTCACGGATATTATGACGACATCAGAAAGAAAAGCAATAAACGACTGTAGAATAAGAGCAAACAAACAAGCTACAAAAACTGAGATTAACGCGGCCCAGCATCAATAATTGGGCGCTCCACCACCGGCCGAGAGCTCGGCAAACATCGGGGGACAATATTTATTTATTTACTAATAACCGTGTTGTGTCACGGCAAACAATAAATAAGATGAAAGGAACATTGGGAAATAGGTTTATGAAGGCTCTGGGGAGTGCTTATGGTGAAGCGATCGCGTGTTCCTAACTTTATTAGTAGTCTGCAAACTGGAACGTATTATATTAATAATGCCTGTAGACATGCTATTATTCAGAACTTCTTATAGTATTGTAGTTATCATAATATCAGACCTTTTGTACCTTAGACGCTGCCCTCCGTTAAAGGTGTCGTTTTTTTTAGATCTGGCGTTATTAAGACGGCTATTCGGGTCTTACTTTGCTAGATGCTTTTAGATTTTATCGTTACCTATTTCTTATCGTCAAGAAAAGGTCTGATGGGAACTATTAAACAACCAACCAACTTAAAGCAATTATTATACTAGGATGACTGAATGCATTTATCATTGCATCAAAACATTTTTCTGATTTAATGCTGATTTAATGTTGATTTAATGCTGATTTAATACTGATTTAATGCTGATTTAATGTTGCTGCCGCTTAAAACATTTAATTTGTACACACATCGTATTATAAACTAGCCTATAAAATACATGCAAACAAAATAAATGATTAAATATCCAACCTTTCTCCAAGCTGTCGATCTGGTCGTTCGTAAAGGACGTCCTATTCCTCTGCAGCTTCCTCTTCAATCTGAGCCTCATCTGCGAGTCTTCGTCACCGGACGACGCGTGCTCACTGTTTCCGTCTGAACCAGCTTCTGATTGCAAAGGATCTGCTAAAAGAGGAACTCAAGTTGGATTTGTGCCTTGTAATAAGAACTAACAAGTGTTGGTATGGTCTAAAATTAATTATTCCTGGTTTGGTACGAGTATCTTTTAAAACATTATGAATGTGAGTTGCCAACATAATACAAGAAAATATCCTACTGCTACCCCACAACGTTTTTTAATGAAACAAAAAATATATAAACGTAGAAATTAAATTTTAGGGAAATAAATTCGCTTTCTGTAGTTAACTTTTACACCATAGTGTCTTCGCAGTCAGAACGTTATATTAAATTATAAATTTAGTAAATTATAGGTTAAATATTTCTCTTTTTTGTACAAGAGGGGGCAAACGAGAGTGCGGTACACCTGACGGTAAATGAATACCGACGCCTATGAACAACTGCAATACCAGGAGTCTTTAAAAAAAAGTAGGCTCTTCTCTTGAAGGTCCCTAAGTCGTATACCGGTCCGCAAAAATCGTTGGTGGTGGTTGGCACAAAGAATTTGTGCCAAGAAGAAAACTAAATTTACCATTGCTCTTTACTATTAATAAACGTATAATAAGCGCTCCAACTAAGCCTTATATTAGCGCTATTAGTAGCTCACATTGCTTTATTTGTCTTTTTACCCGACTGTCATAGAAGGATTGTAATGTTTTTGAGTGTATGTCTATTTCTTTATAGGTATTTATTTCTTTGTAGCTGGATTTCAACGTACAAGGTGTTGGTAGATTTGTCTCAGTTATGTATGTGACGTAGGGTATAATTTTATTTCTTTTCCTTTTTAATAACTATTTTAACTTGGCTTGTTATTGACGAAGTAACACTGCACTGATAACGCTTTTAATAACTACATATTATATTATACGAGCATTAAAGTTAAAAACAAAAATTGTATTAAAGGAGACAGTAAAGTATGTAAAAAATTAACAGAAAGCTTTTAAGCAGAGGGGTCGGAAGCTCTTCATCATAAACTATCAACACAAGGCGCTCGAACAAAACATACTCAACGACTATCAAGCAAATGCGTCAGCAAAATTGTTCAATTGTACCCCAGAATTACAGACAAAAATGTAACAGCAACCACTCACTGTGACCCGCCTCCGCACACGCCACACTCCGTTCTAAAGTTCAAACAACAACGGATGCTGCCATCCCCTAAATAAGGGTGGTTGCAAAATTAAACGTTACTCGTAATGTTGTCGACATGCCCCCGGCTAATTGATTAATTTGCTTTATGGTCGAACCACTTGAGCCCGGGTTCGGTTCCCAACTCAGTAATGTGTGTACGGGTTGCTGATTTCTTTGAATAGGACGACTGTTACGCAATCTGTCACATTTTTCCGATGATACGCCGCTTATACTGCTGCGGGTTCATTTCCTAATGGTATGTTACCGATATAATAGGAACGAAAAGAGAGTTTTACCTATAACATACTGCCTTTAAGTAAAGATAAAGATTAAAGATATTTCATTTTTAAAATATGGGTACAGTACACGGTAATATAGGAAGATAGTGAGTTCAGCCGTATTTTACTATTAGACATGCAAAAAATACAGAATTATAAACTAATCCACTAAACCTTTCATTTATACTTAAAAAATTAAAATGGCTTTCCGTAATATTGAAAAAACTGGCTTTGATTAAGCTCCGGGGGTTACTTTTTTATAGAATAAGGGTGACAAACCAGCACACAGTCCACCAGATTGTAAGTGGATGCTGTGGCCCATAGACATCTACATCTATCCTCGATTTAGAATTAAAACGCAGAAGCGTTGTCACCCGTGAGGACTAAGATGGAATGCCTCGTTTGCAGTAAAAAAGTGTCTCCGGATCTCTACACTCATACGTAACACAGCAGTATCACGCAGCTGTTTTACACTGGTATTTAGTGAGAGCGTGGTCCTGCCCCGGTCGCGCCGACCCATTCGTGCTACAACTATACTACTGATATAACAGCATGACTCTACCACGTATATAATTTACTTATTATAAAACTTACTTGCATGCCATTAAGACATAAATGACCATTTTGAAGTTTTTATCTGTTTGTCTCTCTGTCAGAGCTAATCTTCGAATGGTTGAACCGATTGTGATGAAATGTTCCGAACAGATAGAGATCAACACTGGGATCTCTTAAGCCTATATATTATTATTTTTTAAAACTGTTTGAATTTATTTTTGTAAATGAATGGTTTTTGATTAACTCAAATTTAAATAACGTCACATTTATAAATCGTACCCAGGCGAAGCCAGGGCGTAGGTACCTCTCTATAATGTATACACTATATTGAAAATGAATATAGTTTTAAATGATTTTAATTGCTACGTAAAATAAACTTATAAAATCAATAATGACAGACTGATGGAAAACAAAGATGACGAGAAAACAATTCAGTGATAAACTGTTTGAGAGTTAAAGTCCTATTTTTAACTGGTATTTAACTGGTAATGTCTCGTACTGTTGTACTTTTGCTAGTGTCAAGTATAAGAAATAATCTATACATATCATAAACATTTCACCTGCAGATGTCTGTACATTTTTTATTTTTGTAACAACACTTTTGTTTGGTTGTCATTAAGAGGAATTAAAAGTAAGTACTTTGTAAGAGCCGTGGTAGCTCAGATGGTTAACGCTCGCTGTAAATATAACAGAACGCGAGTAACCCGGGTTCGAACCCCGCCGGCACCAATGAAATTGTTAATTGCAATTTTAAGTGCTGATTTACCACGTGCTCGGCGGTGAAGGAAAACATCGTGAGGAAACCTGCGTTCTGAGGAATAAGAAAAAAATATTTCAAAGACACGTGAAGTTCGCCAACACGCATTGGGGCAGCGCGGCGGACACTTCCTTGCCCTAAAACCCCCTCAGAAATGAGGGGAGGCCAGTGCCCAGCTGAGGGACGTATATAGGCTGTAACTTTACTTTACTTTTACTTTGTAAGTACTTACATTCCTATCATTTTTAGAATTGTTTATCTGTTTGTCAGAAATTCATGAAAGTCATGAATGATTCACGTACTAAGTACTAATTTATTTCAAAATATTCGTAAAGAAAATCATCCTTTAATATACTTTGTTTCAAATTTTCTTTACAATCTTGAAGAGTCACATTACGAAGTTTTTGGGACATTTTGACGGGTGTCTGAGCGAGCAGATAGTCGACGACGATAATATCTCAAGGCGCAAAAGCAGATACAATAATTTAAGTTTCACATCACAATCGGAGCACTTATTTCGTTCTCACTAGTAGTTCATGCGTTGACGTTTAATACTTAAAATCACACCACTTCCACGTATCAAAAACCACTTCAAACCTTAATTCAAAGGATAAAACAGTAGCAGAAACAGAGCAGCAATTCATAAGCGGTCAAGTTCGCGCCAAAACCCTCAAAATTCGTATTTATAAATGTTGTTGCTCATTGACGGGAATTATTCAGAACAATTATTATATGTGCACTCGATTATATTTTAATATATTTTAATAAGACCTGTTACTTGATACACTGCGTATATTGGAAATAAGGTGTATGCAATAAACATTTAAAATAAAAGGATAGCATATACATAATAGTTTAATTTATTGGCGAACTGCGCTACAAAAATTCTCATACACGGCTTATAACACCCGGTTTGATAGCGGCGCCCGTCTCCTGACATGATTGATGTACGACAGCCGCTCAGAGAAACATGGCGGACTTTCCAATCGGTTGACAATTTTGATTGATCGGTTGCTCTGACAGGTCGCCGCGATGTGTGTGCGCGCCATTATCACGTTGCCAAATGCAATTATGTCATTGTTTATAAACATGGATATTTTCAAGATACGAAATTTAAATCACAACAAAATATTAAAGAAAAAAACCTATTTTGAAAGCATCCGTTTATATCTAGAAATAATATTATCTATGACGCAATGATTAGCTTCACCTGTGTCACACTCCCCCCTTTTCCCGCCCTTTTTTGAACGGATAAAGATTGTAAAAGTCTACAAAACAGAAAAAAACTTTTCTATCATTTACCAGCGTCTGTAATCTATTCTTTTAACCATCCAAGTAGAAATATCTGGTCCTTCCTTCCTTGGAGCCGGATGTGAACCAGCGACCTATGGATGTACAGTATCTACACGTCCGGTAAAAAAAGCTATAATACGTAAAATATTAGCCAAAATAGTACAAACGTAAAATTTTTTGTTATATGTTTGAATAATATAAAAATGAAAAATTAATTAAACTTTGTTGCGTGATTGGTAGCAGAAAAAGCTGTGAATTGTATTCAATCCTAATGATTCACATTTTTCATTATTTATCAGAGCCTCTGAACATAACGGAAGAATTCATTAAAAAAGCAAAACGAACGGCCGGGGCGCGCACTTAGCCACAATTCTACCAATGACGACCTACAAATGATTGAAGGAAATTCCGATAGTAGACAGGCTCGCAGGCGGGGTAAAGCACGAGAAATACATAAGAGAAATAATAGTAAGAAAATAAGAAAAGAAACGAAATAAAAGTGGGGGCGGTGGAAAAAATTGGAGAAAACAAGTAGAAAGGGGAGCGAAGAAAGTCGGGAGCGGAGAGATAAAGCGGAATTGAAGTTATCGGGGCGGACATGACGGTCGTAGGGGGGGGGTGATTGCCGCCGCGCGATTATGTGAGATCGATACTGTCACTCAACTGGGGGATGTCGGTTAGAAAAGGTGAGCGGACAGTTTTGTAGTTAATATATATTTTTGCAGAAAAACTACTTAAGGCGCAACATGAGTGTAACTCAGATTTATTTCAGACGAAAATAACGTTACATAAAATCTATCTGTTCCCGCTGTTTCCGTTATATAAAGGCAGTAACTGACTACATTATATTCTGAGTATATGTGTTATATATTATATGTTTCGGCCAAAAGCAGAAGTTTGGATACATCTGCGTATGTTCGGAGTAAACTGGAGTATGCAGCTACGGCCTGGAATCCTTATGAGAATAAGTATACTATCATGTTAGAGAGAATACA